TTGTTGAGCTGTATGGACAACATGATTGTATTTTGGAAAAATGTGTTAACATACACAAAAGGAAAAAAACTCTACAGGAATATTCACCAAACCATTAACTGTATTATACTTACTTCTGATATGTGAGATTCAGTGACCCTTTCATTTTCATTCAATTTATTTATTTTTCAACCAATATTTATTGATGGGCAGTGTGCTAGATTCTGGGGATATGGTGGTAAACACCCAAAGCCATTGATCTCAAGGAGCTAGCAGACTATATTTTCACAATCCTGGAATTCTTTACAACAAACATTATCGGGAAAAAACGTTAGATAATTAAAAGTAAATAGATTATTTTACTTCCTAGCAAGCCCTCTTTACTTCCTTGCCAATCCACTGCACCAGTCTCTGGTCTCTCTATCCTCCTGCTCTCTCTCTTTTCTTACAACTATCCAGACTCCACCCAGTCTTTAGGCCCAACTTGTGGCCAAGCTCTCCCATGAAGCCATCAGCAATACTTCTCCCTCTCCTCTCCAAACTGGGTACCTTCCTTTGAATGGACAACAAAAGTGCACAGATGACCCTGTTCTGCCACCATCTGTGATTCTCTAGAGGCCAGGGACTGTGGCCCTCTCATCCAACACACATAATGCCTGGCTTACAGAAAACTCCATAAATGCTGGTTGAATGGGGATTGTGTTGGCAATAGCGGCACACTGTTCTGATAACCTGATGGAGAGCAAATTGCCTGAGAGCCTCCAGGGGCTGTGCCTTCAGGTCCTCTCTGGAATTCTTACTGAGGCTCTGCTTCCCCTGGTTTCTCCTGGTCAGTGACTGGGCATGGTGGGGATACCAGAACCCGGCCGTTTCTGTGTGATGCTGTACGCCTTAGCACACCACCTTTGGTCGGGTCGCCCCATGAGTGTGGTTGCACCGCAGAACTGCATGGCAGTCTAAAGCTTTTCCTACCCAAGCCTCCTCCCTTCCCTCTCTCCTTTCTCAGGTGTCAAGCCTGCATCATGCTCTGAAGGCTCTCCTTCCCTTTTCCTCTTCCTTCCCTCTTTATCCTACACAAGCATTTCTCCCCCAAAACGCCATTTTGCATTTGATTCTCAGAGGACCCAAACCCATACAGGAATCGATGGAAAAATCGCTAGAAGAAAGTTCACAAATAATTTATACACAAAGATGTGTGAGATCCATGCCTCAAAAACTCTGTGCATGCGAATCACCTGGGGGTCATGTTGAAATGCAGATTCTGGTCCAGTTGGTCTGGGGTGGACCCAAGATGCTGTGTTTCTAAGAAGCTCCCTGTGGATACCAATGCTGCTGGGCCAAGAACCCCACTTTGAGCAGCAAGATGCTGGAATCTTTATTGACCTGCCACATCTCTCTGTTCCCTCCTCTGAGCCCTCAGAGGCCCACTGTGATGACTCCATCAGCACCTTCTGAGCCTCTGATCAAAAGTTGGGTTTGGCCAACGAGGGGCATGAGCAAGAGACCAGAGGGCAGGAAGAGATTGAAGTCAGAGGTTTTCATTCCTATGGGAATCGCTTCCTATTGGGTCTCTGTGGGTTGGCTGTGTTCCTCTGCCAAAGATTATAGCTCCTGATAGATAGATCTCTCCAGTTTTCCCTGGTGCAGAATTCTAGTCACTGCTCTCTCCTTTCCCTGCTTTGGCCTGGGGTGGTAATGGCTTCCCACTGTCACCAGCCTTGGAGTACTGCACCAACCCTTGGGGCTCTTAGTAAACCTGGCCCACACTTCTGGAATCAATCCTTCAGTAAATGTTCCTCATTTCCTCAGCCAAGTGTGCCATCTGTCTCCTCCTGGGACCTTGACTGCTACAAGCATTGTTCAATGCAGATTTTTTTAATTTTTTATAATAGCACAAAACTGGAAAGAAGCTAATTGGGCATCATTAAAATGATTAAATTCTGGTATATGTGCTTAATGGTGTTACATACAACCATTAAAAAGGATGTAGTAGCTCTATATTCACCTGCATGGAAAGATGCTCAAACCATTTGAGCTAAAAATTAAAACAAAAACAAAAAAAATCCCGGAAGATCTGAACAGTGTGCATAGTATGAACCCGTTCATTTAAAAAGTAAAATATACATTTGTGAAGGCTTGGACCGCAAATGACTGACGAGGATCCTGCTCAAAACAAACCTAACCATAAAAGGAGGGAGGGGGTGGGGTTTCTGACTCTGTCTCTTCCTATCACTTGCCTCTGGTTTCTCATGTGGTGGCTTCACTATCAGGCAGACTGTCTTCAAGTGGTGGCAGAGCAAACCAGTGTGGCTCACAGCATCCTGACAACTGACTACCTCAGTAGAAGGGGCCTCAATCCTAGTTGCTTTAACAAAAAAATCCTGGGCTGAGGCAAGCAGATGGGCTTGGACATATGCTAACCACTGAACCACATGGACTGGGAGTCAGCGAGGGAGGCTCCCCAAAAGAAAGAGAATGTTTCTTCCCAGAGAAAGAGGGGCAAGGCAAGTGTGAGCAGCACTTGTCCACTCTCGAGGAATTATCTGCAGTGGACATTTGTTATCCTTTTTGGCTGCCCAGCATCTGAACCTCCTTCCTATACTGGAGCGAGTCTCCTACCTTCTCGAACACTTATCCTGGAGCCTACTTCCCTCAGAGATGCTGAAAATGCCAGGAACACACGTTCCCAGCCTCCTTTAAGTGCATGACCCGGGCCATTTAGACACTCTGATCTCAGGGCTGGTACAGACGCCACCTTGGGACAGGGTGCATCTATGGCATGATTTGGGACCTTGTTCCTGGTTGTGAAACTTTTGAGACTGGTTCGCCTGCCCTCATGGGATCTGCGAGCTATGAAGAAACCTTGTATTAAATCCCCTTTCTGCTTAAACTCTCCAGAGGGTTAATTTCTGCAACTTGAAATCAAGAAGCTAGATTAATGCCTACATGAATGTGTGCATTTTTGGAAAGATAAACAAAATGTGAATATTGGCTACCTATGGGGAGTAGAACTGAGAGAGTAGGACAGAGGGGAGGGACTTTTGCTTTTGTTTGGTGAAAACTTTTTTTTTTAACCATGTATATTACTTTTATAGTGAGACAACTAGTTGGTAAAAATATAAGAAAAGACACTGAATGAATAGAATAAGATGAGGATGCAATTGCTCAGGATTTTCATAGAAACAAAAGTCTTCATTAGACCTTCAAAAGATAGTCATCATCACATCTATTGTGATGAATGGCTCCAATTCCGGAAAGGAATGACAGTGAGTCATCCCGGACACTGACGGGGCCTAAGTGGTTTGCTCTGTCCCTGTGATTCACTCACTCAAACACTATCCATGGCTCTCTCTTCCTCATGGAATAATCCCACTGCCTTTAACCTGGCACTGGAGAGTTTTGCAGTTTGAGTCTTGTGTACTTTTGAGACGTTTATCTTTATGCTTCACCTAGACCTTTTCTTTCAGCCCCATTGGCCCAGATTCAAAGGGCATTACCATCTTTGCTCTGCCAACACCACGACTCTTAATTCCTTCTTCATGCCCTCATCAAGTGTTGTTCTGTATTATAAGTCTACATTTATGAAATGTAGCCATGTAACAGTCAGGTAACTGAGTACCCACTGTATGTCTGGCCTTGTGCTAGGGTTTAGGGCCATAGTTCACAATTTATGGAAACCAATCACCTCCTACCGAAGTTAATGTTGTCACGATGAGCAGATGGCATCAGCAATTTGCAGGCAAGGCAGGGCTGCTCTGGTTAGAATCTTTCTCTTCCCCTCTGCCTGGATTGCACTCTCCCCAAATGTCAACATGACTCAATGTCTCAATTCCTTCCTGTCACATTCTCAGTGACAACTTCTCATCCCACCCTTTTATAAAATAACATCCCATCCTCTGACCTATTGACTTAGATTTGTTATGTCCTATTTATTGTTTGAATAGCACTCATCACTCATATCCTTTCCTTACTTGTTGGTGTCTTTGCAGCTTTTCCAGCACCTAAAATAGTCCTGTTTGTTGGTAATAGAATGAGAACTGGACTAGACACCAAAAGACCTGGGTTCTAGTAACAGCTCTCCTCCAGGAAACCATGTGGCCTTTAGCAAGCTGCAGCCTCTTTAAGCCTCAGCAGGCTCCTCTGTAAATTGGGGGCGACCATTTGGTGGCTGGCAGGTCTGTCTACAGGCCCAGATTACACAGGGTCTCCAACTTGAGCATGGATCAGAATCGCCAGGAGGGCCCCTTAAATAAAACAATTGGAGGGGAGTATTTCTAGTTCGATAGGTCCTGGGTGAAGTGTTGGAAAATTTGCATTTCTATAACATCCTCCGTGGAGCTGATTCTAGAACTACAGTTGCAGAGAAAGGCACTGGAAGTGCTTGTAACCATAAGGGCCTTGCCCAGCGAAGGACTGAAACAAAGGGCCTCGCAGGACCATCTGTTCTCTAATAGAGTCAACAACTATTTTAAAAAAATATATTTTATTGATTTTTCACAGAGAGGAAGAGAGAGGGACAGAGAATTAGAAACATCGATGAGAGAGAATCATCGATCAGCTGCCTCTTGCACACCCCCTACTGGGGATGTGCCCGCAACCAAGGTACATGCCCCTGACTGGAATCGAACCTGGGACCCTTCAGTCCGCAGACCGACGCTCAATCCATTGAGTCAAACCGGTTTCGGCTCAACTATTTTGGACGCGCCGCCGGCCAGGCCAGCGCGGCGGTGGACTCGGGCAGGGGACTCAGGCCTGGGCCCAGCACAGTGTCCGCAGGGCCGGGCACCGCTCCGACCCCGTAGGGCGGCAGGGAGTCTCCGGGGCCGCCAGAGGGCCGCGGGCCGGCGCGGAAAAGGCAAAGTCCGGACCGACGAGCCAGGGCCCCAGACCCAGATCTGGGCTTTTCCCGGAGCCCGCGCTCCGCTCCGCTGGCCGCGGCGGGGACGCGACCTCGCCCGGGGCGCGCGCCGGGCACGCGGCGGTAGGCGCGCCGCGGGCGGGAGGAGGCGCCGGCGCGCGGCATCCGGGGGCGGAGCCGGCGGGGCGGACGGGCGGGCGCGGGCCCGGGGCCGTGATGGGCGAAGGCGGGCTGCCCCCGGCCTTCCAGCTGCTGCTGCGCGCCTGCGACCAGGGCGACACGGACACGGCGCGGCGGCTGCTGGAGCCGGGGGCGGCGGAGCCGGCGGAGCGCGGCGCGGAGCCCGAGGTGGGCGCGGAGCCGGCGGGCGCCGAGGCGGCCGGGCCCGGGGCGGCGGCGGCGGCGGCCGGGGCGCCGGTGCCCGTGGACTGCTCGGACGAGGCCGGCAACACGGCGCTGCAGTTCGCGGCGGCCGGGGGCCACGAGCCGCTGGTGCGCTTCCTGCTGCGCCGCGGCGCCTCGGTCAACAGCCGCAACCACTACGGCTGGAGCGCGCTCATGCAGGCGGCCAGGTGAGCGGCCGGGGCGCCGGGGTGGTGTCCGGAGGGGCCCGGGGTCAGGCGGCCAGACCTGCCCGCGGACCCTCTCATCCCCACCCCGCAGACGCCCCAGGAGGTAGAGTCCAGGACTCCTTGGAGAGAGTTGGAATGGTACACTTGGAGCAGCTTTGGGATGCAACGAGACGTAGGAAAGCGTTTTGTTTTAAAAAAATATATTTTATTGTTTTTTTTTTTTTTTTTTTTTTTTTTTTTTTTTTTACAGAGAGGAAGAGAGAGGGATAGAGAGTTAGAAACATCGATGAGAGAGAATCATCGATCTGATGCCTCTTGCACACCCATACTGGGTGGGGATGTGCTGGCAACCAAGGTACATGCCCTTGCCATGAATCGAACCCCGGACCTTACAGTCCACACGCTGACGCTCTGTCCACTGAGCCAAACCGGTTTCGGCGGAAAGCGGTTTTTAATAACATGAAATCAGAGTCTCAGAGATATTGGCCTTTCCAAACAGAATCTGAACACTGCCAGTGGAATCTTAGAGACTCACTCTTGGAGGTTCATTCATTCCTTCTTGTAACAAGGGTTACCTGGGAACCTGGCCACCCACCCTCGCTTGGTGGTGGGATGCTGCAAGCAAGACCCAACTCAAGCTCCCACTGGGAGCGGCTCACATGCCATTGGGTAGGCCAGACCAGGGAGCAGGCTTGGACAGGGTAAGGTCAGGGAGCTCTTGGAGGTGCGAGAAGCTTTCTGGGAAGGATGATGATGCTTATATACAAGTGGAGATCTGAGGATTTTTAAGAATTAATCAGGACAGAAGCAGTGGGAGGTGCGAACCCTGGGATAGGAGACCCCGCAAAGGTTTGGAAGCAACATTGAACATAGAGCATTGGTAGGATTGTTAGGAGGATGTTATGGCTGGGAGGGGGGCTGGGAGTGGTGGAAGATGAGTTCTCCTTGGAGAGATGAAGGCAGACGTTAGGGGCAGGGCTGGGAAAGGTTAGCCATCCTCAGGGCACTGGGGAGTGATGGAAGGCTGTAGGCAGGCAAAGTGAGTGACAGAATCAGGTTGTTTTGGAAAATTAACAGTAACCAGGATGGATTGGACAGGTAGGTGTGCTAGAGTCAGAAAAGCCCAGCTAGAGGCAATTGCAGGGGTCACACAAGAGCTTGGACCAGAGCAGAGGCAGTGGTTGGGTGAGCAAAGAGATGAGTGTGAGATGTGCTCAGGAAGCGGGATGCACAGGACTTGAAACCCTGGTTTATAAAGAAGCTTTAGTGTACAGGGAAGTCTCTTAACTCTTGTCAGCCAACTACGGAGGCCCACCCAGCCCTCAGTTTCTTGTGGAAGGTCCCCGAGGAGGGAACGCAGGGGATAGGTCATGTTGGGTGGGTATCGCCAAATTGCTTCCCGTACCGTGTGTCAGTGTCCGGTGGCTGCTGTAACAGCTTTCCACAAAATCAGCAGCTTCTGTCCCCTCCTCTGACTCCGAATCTTCTGTCCTTGTTTTCCACAATTAAAGGACCCTTGTGACCCCAGTGGGCCCACCTAGATAATTTAGGATGCTCCCCATCTTCAGATCAGCTTACTGATTACGAATCCTATGTACCACCTTCATTTCCTCTTTGCCAAGAAGCCTAACTCAGGGTCTGAGGGTTCGGGTGTGAATGCCTCCGGGAGCCCGCTATTCTGCCGGCCACAGCAGCCACACCAGTTTACCTTCCCAGCAGCAGTGCGAGCGAGGGCTTGTGTTTCCACAGCCTTGCCGACAGTGTGCTAGCAAACGTTTGGGTTTTTGTGTCTGATGGGTGAAAAACCTCACCTCCATGTGGCTGTGATTTGCATTTGTTTCAAATATGTCATTTTAAACTGCTGGGTGAACATTCATCCATGGGGCAGTACCGTGGTTTGCTTAACCATGCCCCGGCCATTCAATGGGCATTTATTTCAGTCATTCTATGAGCACAACTTTGGGAATACACCCCAGGTAGGGAATGCGTGCCTGTTGGCAAGGGCTACGCAGTGTTTCATGCTCTTATCTGGATGTTGGGGCCCTTTGTCTTGGCACCTGATTTCCTGCCTGGAGCAGTCTGGGATGATGGAAAGCCTTCGGAGCTATCTTCATCTTTCCCCCGAGGTTCCCTGTCACTCCTAGGCTTTCTTTCAGGCTTTGAAGTCCCAGGTGAGTCCTGGGCCTCGGAACCTGTCTGTGCCGTGGCCGGGTCTGCTCGTCTGTCTCAGCCGTACCCTCTCTGGGATCCACACCCCCTCTCCTTCCCCTCTGCCGCAGTGCAGACCACACGTGGTAGGAGTCTCCTCCTGCTCTCCCTTCCTCCGGGGGTGCCCTCTCTAATCCAGCCTCTGCAGAGCTTCCGTTCTAATCTTGATTGCCTCGTCTGTGAAATGGGCGGTTTATTAAAATAAAATAGGATACAAATGTGACAGTACCTTATAACCTGCTGTTAGGAATTATACTAGTTTTTTTTTTTGTTGTTGTTGTTTTGTTTTTCCTGGATGCTTGATAACTAAAATGGAATTACCTCTTGAATTCTCTACTCCAGTGGAGGATCTACCAGTCCATTGCCTGTCTCTGGACCATCCTCTACAATGTTATGCCAGCCAGTCAGTCATTCATTCACTTACTGGACAAAATTTATTGAGCTCCACTGTGGGTCAGCCCCCAGTCCTCTCTTTGGAGAGTCTAATAATTGGTGAGTACAGATGAGCATGGCCAGAGGGCACAGTGTGAGAGCTGGGAGGAGGTGAGGTTGAAAGTCGGTGGGTCTTCAGCAGGGGGAAGCGGCCGGCAGATTTAGGGTTTGGGAGTGTCATTTTGGGTTTGGGGACTGTCATGGAGGATGGGCAGGAAGGGACAGCCCAGGAAGCAGGGAGACAGGCCGAGGTGGCAGCTTTCTGCCGTTGAGTTTATTCCAGCTGGACTTGCCCTCTCCCTGCTCTTGGGGAAGAGGACAGGCCCCGTTCCCCTGCAGCTGGAGGCGTCAGTTCACCAAGCTCTCCTTCCGGGCAGCGCTCTGTGGGCTGAGGTGACCTGGTGCTGTTCAGGTTCATGTCCCAGAAGGTATTTGTAAGTTCAAAGCAGAGTTCAGCCTTGGCTCTGCCTCCACAGGGAGGAGGGAGGCGCTGGGTTTAGCTGAGCTACAAAAACCCGCACAACAGGAGACTTAAAAAGCTGCCTTGCCGATGCAGACATCGCACAGGTATAATGGTCTTGTAAAGCCTGGCAGAGCTGGCCCCTCTCTTCTTGCCATCCTTTCCTTGTTAGTCCAGGCCTCTTCCAGCTCTGACACACAGCTCGGAGCCCAGAAAGAGTGTGCCAAGCAAAAGTGCTGTGAAACAGAACTTTTCTGTCCTCTCCAGGCGAAAGAAGAGAGAGATTTTCGCTAGGAAGAGGCATCTGTTTTCCCTTCCTGGTGTTAGAGCTTTGGTGGGTGCTTATTTGTCTCCCCAGGGTCTCAGGAGGGCCTTTCTTCAAGCTTCACTCGGGGAGGGGCTTGGGGGAGGGGGGGGAGTGTCTGACTCAAGGTCCAAATCTAAGCTTCAGGCAGTGTACTAGTACATTCCTGCCAGCAGGTGGCAGCAGGCCTCTGGTGAGATGTTCAGGCCTATTTCTCCTGACCACAGCCTGGCCACACCTCTTGGCACGGGGTCCTGTGCCTCTGGTCTAGAAGGACCTTCTCTCTGTGTGCATCTGGAGAGGAAAAGGGTAGACATGAGTCAGACATGGGCCCTGCCCATGGGGAGATCAGCACTGGCAGATCACCAGGCTACAAAACAGAATAAAATGACCTTTCCGAGATGTGGGAGGCAGCAGCGCGGTGTAGGGGAAAGAGGGAGGGCAGCAGGGTTTAGACTAGGGGTGTCGAAGTCAATCAGAGAAGGGGCCAAAATCTAAAATCCAGCCTAAATCGCGGGCCGAATGGTTTACTGAACAGTCATAAACTGTCATTGTGATGGAAACGCAGCGGAGTGCAGTGATGACAGCGCGGTGCGGGCCACATTGCAAGGCCTGGCGGGACGGATTTGGCCCGCGGGCCTTGTGTTTGACACATGTGGTTTAGACAGACCTGGTTTCTGACTCAGGCCCTTACAGGCTGGGCAACCTCGCATGTTGCATAATGTGAACGGATTACAGTGATAATAGCTAACATTTGTACGGTGCTTCCTTTGGCCAAGCACTGCTTTAATAATTATACATTTATTATATATTTAGGTATGTTAACTCCATCCTTAACATTCCCTTGAAATCTGTACAGTCACATCGCATTTTACAGATGAGGAAAGGAAGGCACGATGAAGTTCAAGTTCTTTTTCGAGGTCCTGCAGCTAGTGGATGCCAGGACCAGGTTCAAGCCTAGCAAGGCAACTGCTCACCTTTGTGGTGGGGCATGTGCAGGGCTGGCACCAGAAGAAGGCCTTTTATTTTTTATTTTATTTTTAATTATTTTTTTAAATAAGATTTTATTATTTTAGTAGTTCACTCTTTAAAAAAATATATATTTTATTGATTTTTCAAAGAGAGGAGAGAGAGGGATAGAGAGTCAGAAACATCGATGAGAATCATCAATCAGCTGCCTCTTGGACACCCCCCTACTGGGGATGTGCCCACAATCAAGGCACATGACCCTGACCGGAATCGAACCAGGGATCCTTCAGTCCGCAGGCTGATGCTCTATCCACTGAGCCAAACTGGTTTCAGCATATAAGCAGCTCTTAGGGCTTCATGACAAGCATTCAATAAGTGTCTCCTTCTCAGGGCTCCATGTTTAGTGTCACCGATTCTCCATCTTCCTGGCAGATTTGGGCACGTGAGCGTGGCGCACCTGCTCTTGGATCACGGGGCTGACGTCAATGCCCAGAACCGGCTGGGGGCCTGTGTGCTCACGGTGGCCTCTCGGGGCGGCCACCTGGGTGTGGTGAAGCTGCTCCTGGAAGCTGGTGCCTTCGTGGACCATCACACCCTGTCGGGCGAGCAGCCGGCGGCGGCGGCAGCAGACAGCAGGAACGAGCTGCTGGACATCACGGCCCTGATGGCTGCCATCCAGCACGGACACGAAGCTGTGGTGCGCCTGCTGCTGGAGTGGGGTGCGGACCCCAACCACGCGGCCCGGACCGTGGGCTGGAGCCCGCTGATGCTGGCCGCGCTCATCGGCAGGCTGGGTGTGGCCCAGCAGCTGGTGGAGAAGGGGGCCAACCCCGACCACCTCAGCGTGCTGGAGAAGACTGCCTTCGAGGTCGCGCTTGACCGCAAACACAGGGACCTGGCAGATTACCTGGACCCACTGACCACCGTCAGGCCCAAGACAGGTCAGGCTGCTTCTCTCTCCCCCCATCCCACCCTCTCCCCCGCTGTGGCTTCAAATTGTGTGTTTTTTTTAAATATTTTTTTTTTTATTGACTTCAGAGAGGAAGGGAGAGAAAGAGAGAAACATCAACGAGGAGAGAGAATCATTGATCAGCTGCCTCCTGCACACCCGACACTGGGGATTCAGCTCACAATCCAGGTGTGTGTCCCAACCAAGAATCAAACTGTGACCTCCTGGTTCACAGGTTGATGCTCAACCACTGAGCCATGCCATTTGGGCTTAACCCACTTTTGAGGTTTTTCAACACCTAGTAATGTGCCCTGTCTCTTTTTTATTTTATTTTTTCATTTTTTTGCCATCTTTCTGGCATTTAAAGAGCTGTTTGAACAATCCTTAGCAGATCTGCCATAGAGCACACTATGTTTCAAAACTTCCAGTTCATCACGTGCAGTAGGACCGTGAAATGCCATTTCACACACAGCCTCAGTACCCTCTTTCTGTGATGGGGCCCGGGCTGTAATGACAGGTTGCAGTGCGTAAGCGTCTAGGACTGAAAGGTGAGAATCTGAAGGAAAGGCCAGCTGAGGGACCTGGGATAGGTTGCCCGAATTCCCCTAGCTTCTGTGTAGTCGTCCACAAACGGGGGACAGGAGTAGCACCATGTCCTAGGACTGCTGTGAGGATTAAGTGAGGTCACCCTGGCCAAGTGTGGGTACTTGAAAGGCATTGAGAGCTGCCACCCGTCCACCCCCGATATTGTTACTGTTGTCATATTTGACCGGATCAGGCCATGGCTATGCGTATAGACTTCCTCGTTGAGCAGACCCAGGTTTGGAGCGAGTTCTTCACTTTGTGGCTGGATGGACTTCGGCGTGTTCGTTGTCCCTTCAGGACTTCAGTGTCCTCTTTCCCAAAAGAATCATCATAAATGTGCTTACCTCGTAAGGTTCTGTGAGCAGTGGTAAGGTAGATGCCTGTAAAATGTGTGCCTAGCCCCTGGCACATAGTTAGCACTCAGGAAATAGAAGCTGCTATAATAGGCTTTAATTGACCGCCGTTCATTTAGTTAGCATGAGTGCCTATAAGGTACCGGGCACTGCTCTCAGTACGTGGGATATGTCAGTGAGCAGACCAGCCCCTGCCACTGAGAGCCTTGGCAATCAACAGGAAATAGAATAGCATATTAATTAAATAAAATGAGTTGCACAGGAAGGTAGATGGTACGTGTCAGGGGGCAAGGCAGAGGGTTTGGAGAGGTCCAGTGGGGGTGATGCAGTCCTGGCCTCCTTGAGGAGCTGAGACTTACACCGACTCAGGAGCTGAGGAAACAGGCCATGCAGGCTGTCAGGAGAGTCTTCAGGTGGGACAGCAGCAAGGACCAAGGCTGCATTATTAATAATGGCAGGCTATTAGAGAAATTGTAATGGCCACTAGCTCTTTTTGTGAGATGCCAGGAAATTCACCCCACCAGGGACTTAGGGACCCGCAGGTCTCTCTTCTCAAATGAGCAGCAGCAGGCTGTCTTGGAGGCTGTACCTGTCATTGTGATGCCCCATCTGCCCTCACTGTGGTTGTGCGGGGGAGGGAGGGGACTGTTTCTCTGTTTTCCATGTCCATCACGGAAAACGACAGTTCCTGAGTAGAGGAGCTGGGGATTAAGAAATATTGAAAAAAGAAAGAGATAAGGAGGCAGACATAGATTCATCAAGCTAGGCGCTAGGTGGGCACCATCTCTCTGATGGAGAGGCAACAGGCCCCAAGCCGAGCCACGCAGCAGGTTTATTTATAGGGTCAAAGGAACTTATTTGCATACTTAACTAGGCCCTAGCATTACTGGATTTACATATCTAGACTCTCCCCTGCTGATACCTGGACAAAGGTACTCTGCCAGTGCCTTGGGCTCAGCTGACAATTTAAAGAATGTCCGTGTGCCTTCTCAGGCGGCCCTCTACATGGTTGTTTCTTGGGCTGGGACAGGGTCCCCAGAGCTGTTCTTATACTGATGCAAAAAGCTGGATCCTGGAGTGAGGAAGGGACCAGCCCAGGGTCACTTGACATCAGGGGCACAGCTTACCCCATCCTTCGGGGGTCAGGCTAGACTGTCAGTGACTCATTTGTAGCAGGCGGTTGCTTAGCAACCAACATGAAGGCCAGGTGACACGCTCTTTTCTGTCAAAGGGTCTTGGCATGAGAGGGCACCAGCCCACAGCAAGTTAGACTCTGAAACACTTAAAGGAACACATCATATTTATTAAAACAAAAATGCAGATTCGTTTCATAATGGTATTTTATGAATAAAACCTGACACTTGGTTCCACGTCTATACTTCCTTTCACAACCCTGCAGTTAAGTAGTAGTCCTTGCTGGGGTGGACGCTGGTCACTAGTAAAGGTCACAAAAATTGTACTCTGAGAAGGACCTAACTATTTCTGAAGCATTCCCCTCTGTGTTATTGGTCCCTGCAACCACCATGTGGCCCACACATGAACATGTAATCCCCATTTTAGTGACGAGGAGACAGATGGTTCTAGAGATGCACTCATTCTGATATGCTGACTCCAGACTCCTGCTCCCTGGGTGGTGCTGCAGCTTCCTCCTAGCTGCCCTGGGGGCTGGTCTGGACCAGAGGTTCAGCCCAGAGCCTCAGGCTTCCTCCTGTAGCGGCTCCATCCCTGGAGCTAGTCAAAGGCGGCAGGAAGTCCTGCCTTTACCACTCGCCAGAGGACTGTCCATGTCTGCTTCCCTACAGGAGCAGGATCCCCACTAGTCAGGCTTGGAAGAAGGTGATGGATGAGCAGATGAAGGAGGGGCTGGCACTGGGTGGGTCCAGCAAGGCCCACCTTTGAGGGTCAGAAGTGGGAGGAGTGGGGGTTTTACACTAGCCAAGCATGAACATGTCAGGTGGGAAATTGCCCACAGGGAGCTGTGTCTACAGATCAGGGGCGGGAGGTGACTCAGATTGTTGCTTATTTGGGAAAGAAAGCAAAAATTAACACCGGCTCTTCTGCCCTCACCGGATTGGCTCAGTGGATAGGGTGTCAGCCTGCGGACTGAAGGTTTCCAGGTTTGATTCCGGTCAAGGGCATGTACCTTGGTTGCGGGCACATCCCCAGTAAGGGGGTGTGCTGGAGGCAGCTGATCGATGTTTCTCTCTCATCAATGTTTCTGACTTTCTACCCTTCTCCCTTCCTCTCTATGAAAAAAATCAATAAAATATATTAAAATCAACAAAAAAACAACAACAACAAAAGTTAACAATGGCTCCTCTGGAGGCCATATCCATGACCGTTACCTGGGCTTAGCTGCTTAGCATCTCAGGGCCCTCAGCTCTAGGCTTATCTCATGGCTGTCCATTTTGTTTTTAGGAGAAAAGACTCATTCTTGCTTTTAAAAATTTTCATAGGAGTTCAGATTCTTCTAAGACTGTGCTTTTCTGTCATACCTAAGACAGGACATCCCGAAGTTTGGAATGCCTAAAACTTTGTGAGTGTGGGGTCAGGAAATAGTCCGCTGGTCACTCATGTCCTTTTGGCCAAACGACCTCCTAAGACGTGTCTCTGAAGCATTTCCCGACACGGATACTAACCCTTCCGGGGGGGGGGGGGGGTGGCGGGCTGCTGCATTCATCTGCTATTTGGGTCTCCAATTCGATTGCTTTTGAAAAGTAGATGATTTTAAAAGTTAGGCTATGTTGTTACACGCTTGTGACTTTTCTCTTACGCTAAACCTTAACTTTAAAAATCTTTGTTTACCTAGATGAGGAGAAAAGGCGGCCTGATATTTTCCACGCGTTGAAAATGGGTAAGCGCTTTAGGAAACCATGGGGATATTTAAGGACTCAGTGCCATATTCTCCCTACCTAATATCTGTCGTCCTCCTCAAGGTCACCTTGGGCATTTGGGAAAGATAGCAGGCGTTTTGTTGTTTCACCCAGGAAGGTTCAGACCCTGGAGGCTGGTAGTTACTCTGGGGCTTTACCAGCAGGTTCCAGCCTGCCCTCCCAGGCTCTCCCACCTCTCCCGACAAACCCTGTGGTTAGGCCCTGGCTTTCCCCTCCCTCTGAAATGCCAGGCTGCCCACCTACCTGCTTCAGTGTTTTTGGGATGTAGGACTATTCAGCCTAAAATCTCCTCTTCTGATATAGACCCCGCCTCCAGGCAGCCCTCCCTGATCCTCAACCCCTGGCCAGACATGAACTCACCTGCGTAGTACTTTCTATGCCCTTTCTCTGTTTCCTTCATCTGTCCTCTTAAGATACCAACATTTCCCTCATTTAGGAAACCTATTTGTATGGTGTCTCTGTCCTTTATAGACTGAAGGATTTGAGAGAAGGGGCTACCTCCGGCTCATCTTTGGACCCTCTATGGTACCCCAGTAGCCCAGGGCAGAAGCAGGCTCAGCAAGTGTTTGTTAAGCGAACCCCCCGGATGCGTAAGCCTGCGGCTGCACAGGCCCATGGACGATTGCTTCTCTCTGTAGGAAACTTCCAGTTGGTCAAAGAGATTGCCGATGAAGACCCCAACCACGTGAACCTGGTCAACGGGGACGGGGCCACCCCCCTGATGCTGGCGGCCGTCATGGGGCAGCTGCCCCTGGTGCAGCTGCTGGTGGAGAGGCATGCCGAGGTCGACAAGCAGGACAGCGTGCATGGCTGGACGGCCCTCATGCAGGCCACCTACCACGGGTCAGCGCCAGCCCCACGTTCTCTGCGGCAAGGCTGCTGGGATGCTCCGGCTGGGAGGGGGGTCCTGATGGGGCTCGCTGGTCCTGAGACCTGCAGGTAAACCCCACGGCGGTGAAGCTGTTGGGGCGCGCACACGAGGTTAAAGGAGTGCAGGCTCGTTCTTTCCTGTGTTCCTGCCCTTCCGTGTCCAGATGTCCCATGACTCTGTCACAGAACGTCCCCAGGGACCATGCCAACCACTTTTTAGGAATAAGTTTCTGTAGGTTGATTTCAGTTGATCAGGGTGATTGGCTTCTTTTCTTACTATCAAGTAAGAAGCTTCAACTTCCACCTCAACCCCTTGGCCCCTGGGAGGCTTGCATGTGGAGGGGGGTCCTGATCTGGGTGGGGGGAGCGGGGCCTTGTGTAGTCTGGGTGGCCAAATGGTTTGGGGGCAGAACCCTCGGTGTTCATTTTGTCAGTGGAAGGAGCCCTTGGGCTTTGATTTCCTTCACGTTCGCGTCTGACCTGCCCACGGGGTAGGGACGAGGCCTGTGAGACTGTGGGCAGCTCTCCACGCTCTTAACACACTCAAGAACGGGGCACCGCAGTTCATACCACGTCTTGCTGCTCGGAAGCAGAGCCATGCTTTTGTTTTCCGTGGGTCTAACCCTGGCTCTTTCCTTCCTCCGCAGGAATAAGGAAATTGTCAAATATCTGCTAAACCAGGGAGCCGATGTCGCTCTCCGAGCAAAAAACGGGTACACGGCCTTTGACCTAGTGATGCTGCTGAGTGATCCTGGTGGGTTGTTTCAGGAAAAGGGTTCTGGACCTGCGTTGCCTTTTCCGGGCTGGGAATCCAGATACTCACCTATGTTTGAAGCACTTGCTTATTCAAAGGGGGAGCAACTCTCAGGCCCCAAGAGCTCACCCCATGGCTTTCAGCAAGTCACCCCCTTCAGCAAGGGCTGGGCTGGGCCCAGGCAGTCCCTGAGGCCTCCCCTAGCACCAGCCTCTGGGAGCCTCAAGGAGGGAAAGCCAGCAAGGCGTGTGTCTGCCTTGGCAGTCCACACACATCCTAGAATGGTATCTGATCTATAGCCAGAAATGCTGGGGACTCGGGAGGATACAAAAAGGCCCTCTGACAGCAGAATTAGAGGTGGAGCAATGTCCCCTCAGTTAAATTGTGTAGGCTGCCTGGTCAAGGGTGCCATACTGGAGGTACCTGTTATACCAGCCCACCTCTCTTGGTCTCCACATGGCACTGTTCCCCCCCATTAGCCCCTCCCCGAGTGTGACGGGCCCTCCTCTGTGACCTGCCACTTCTAATGAGCCGGCTCAAGAGGCAGGGTCTCTCTGTTTATAATCCTGGAGTTTTGAGCCCAGAGAGGGAGAGGCTGAGAGGCTCTCCTGACCCCCAGGCTTTAGCCCTGAGCCAGATCCCAACCTGCTGGCCGTGGGGAGAGGACTTTTACCTCCACAGTCCCAAGTGGGGTTACTTCTGCTGCTGCTCCTAGCTACGGGGTGGCAGGCCAGAGTGTCCTTTCTCATCAGCAGCATTGCCACCCTCCCGCCCCTCCCCACACATCACACACCTGCTTGGTTCCACTTCATCCTGCTGGGGTGTGCGGGAAGCAGAGCTTCATACTGTCCTGTAGAGGGAGGTGACCGAGACCGGGGGAAATTACTTGACCCAGCGGGAGAGGCGGGCCCTCTGCCCAAGTCCAGTGAGCTCACTCCTGTCATTTAGAGTGAGTCTCTCTGTGACCCTAGGCTGGATGGCACAGGTTTTCCTGACAAACTTTGTCTCTCACTGTGTCTCTTCTTTCTCCTTCCCCATCCATTTCTCCTCTTCTCCTATAAAATAATCTATTGCTAGTGTTGTTGTTTTTTTTCTCCTAGTGGATTTTTTAATGAAGTTTTCTGCCTGAAATTTTCTAAGAAAAACATGCTTATTATTGAACTAGAGGCCTGGTGCACAAATTCGTGCATGGGTGGGGTCCTTCAGCCTAGCTGACAATTCAGGCTGATGGGGGGGTGTGGCAAGGGGGAGGGGCTGGTGGGCCCCCCAAGTAGGGCCAATGAGGGGGCCAGTCAGTTAGGGGAGGGACTGTGGGAGGTTAGCTGGCTGGCTGGCTCCCCCAGTCAGGGCTGAGTGGGGTAGAGGGGAGGCCAGCCAACCGCAGGAGGTTGGCTGTGGGAGCACACTTACCACCAGGGGTCAGCTCCTGCATTGAATGTCTGTCCTCTGGTGGTCAGTGTGCGTCATAGCAACCAGTCGACTGGTCATTCGGTTGTTCGGTCGCTTAGGCTTTTATATAAATAGATACTTGGAGAGAAGAAAATAAACAGGCATCAAGAGAAAAGCACTGTTAATAGTTTTCAGTAATTTTTGTTTCTTGCTTTTTTTTTTTTTATAACCTAGTTAAATTAATAATAACTAATAGTACTTGGCTTTTTTCATGTACTTTATGTCAGGAATTCCCTCGAATCCTCCAGACACCTTTATGTGGGGGCACTGCAGTCACCCCTTTTACACAGGCACAGAGAGGGTCCTTATTTTACCTGCAGAGAGGTCCCTCTGCTACCAGCCCCCGCTCTTGGTCTCCAGAGAGGGCCTGAGGCAGACTTTGAACCTCTGCCATCTGGCTACAGAACCCGTACATTTTAAACAATACGCTCTGCCTTCCTGCGGGAAGAGAGCTTCTGTTTTTTCTTTCTGGTTAAATGGGTTCAGTGCTGCTAGCCTTTTTGCCATTTTTTTTTTGGGGGGGGGGGGGACCTTGATCATTGAATACCAAAGACTCTGGAGCTACAGGGCTGAATTCTAAGACTGACAGGGGTCGTCTTAGGCCCAATCCCCGTAGCCCAGCAGACATATTTGCAGGTAAAACGCTGCCTTTTGTGCCCATAGACACGGAACTTGTTCGACTGCTGGCATCTGTCTGCATGCAGGTGAACAAAGACAAAGGCCGGCCCAGCCACCCGCCGCCCCTGCCCCACGCGAAGGCCCGGCAGCCCTGGAGCGTCCCAGTGCTGCCCGACGACAAAGGCGGGCTCAAGGTTTGCCTTTTCTGTTCCTAGAAGGCTTCTGAGAGTCAGATGGACGAGTGGGGGATGCCTGCCACTTCCTGTTAACCTAGGGCTAGTTTATGCGTGGGGGTTGGGGGGGGGCGGCTTGCAGGGGTGGGAAGTAAGATGGGGATGACAGTAGGGAATGGTGGGGACTGGGGAAAACTGGGGTGATCATAACCACTTAGTGACATCAGTGGCTGTTTTGCAAGAATATGGGTCCATGTTATCAGTTCTTCTTCTGCTTCCCCCCCACCCCCCTAAGAAATTAGAAATCCAGATTTTGATGTGGGAACTCAATTTATAAATGTAGGGAGCATTTTAAACTTCTGCGTGATGTAGTCCTGAGCTAGCCAACGTGAACACCTCTGCTCCCACCCAGGCCATCTGCTTTAGTGGGTAGAACATCTTCTGGTTGTGCCATTCTGGGATCTCCCCGTGGTCCACAGGCCCCCATCAGCTTCTTCCTAGAAAATCCAAAACCACGCTCCAGTGGCTTATTTCTAACTGCAAGCCTGGTGTTTTTTTCGTTGAGCTTCTCATCCTCCCCATCTGCTCTACTTATTTGAAATCAAACTTGTCCCCCTACCAGCCCCATCCTGAGGTTCTAGTGCCTCCTCAGATCTGCAGACTTGGCATTCCTTTCCCAGGCCTAGATTCTTCCTCACCGTGCTGCTTGCATAGATCCCCCTGACCTCACTGCCATCTCCGTAGGCCAGGCCCTCGCAGCCTTCCTTTGGGCTGTGCCTGTTACCTTCGACGGCAGCTGTCTTCTTTCTAGGTGGGGAGGCATCAGCTACTGGGACACATGGCCAGGCCTGGGTATGGACATCCTCACACCACTCACATCGTCACTGGGATGGGGGGAAAGAGCTTAGGCAGTGATAGATGTTAAGGTGTTTAGTGTTGCCTCTGTGTCCATCTCTCTGTTCTTGACTCACCGTAAGACTGAGCAAGGAGCACCCCTGCCTGGGTCTCCATGTCTCAATCTGTGCCGTGTGGAGATTGATTAGATGAAGGGTGGCAATTAGGGCTCACTGCCACCTCCAGCCTATTGGAAATGGCTTCTCGGGCAGGGTCAGGAAGTCTTCAGACAATCAGGCTTTATTGGGAAAGGGTGCTGTCTGCGATCCATTGGTGACGCCTGCCGTGGGCCCAGGAGAGGGGAGGGGAAGCAACTGTGAAATAGTCTCTGTCCCTGGGCCGGGTGTTCCTTTTCACGACCTCTGCTCCGCATCCCCTCGGCAGTCCTGGTGGAGCCGAATGTCCAATCGGTTTCGGAAGCTCAAATTGATGCAGACTCTGCCCCGCGGGCTGTCCAGCAACCAGCCTTTGCCTTTCTGTGATGAGCCAGAGCCAGCACTGGACACCACCATGCGGGCACGCCCCCAGGACAAGACCAGCTGCTCGGGGCTCCCCGACGCGGCCCCCACAATGAAAGACAACGGTAAGAAAAAGCTGCAGGTGCGGTAGATCTCCCAGAACGGTTAGACCCAAATCCTCTGCCCTACGTCCTACCTTCTAGGCTGCTATCAAAGGGGAGATGATGTTGGAATGTGACGGTGCAGCGGAATGGCACCTGCCTGTCAACGTGGTGGAATCAGGGGAGCTGGTGGCCAGAGCCCTGGGAACTGTTCCACACACCCTGCGGAAGGACCCGAGGCCACTGGGAGGCGGCTTTCCCACCCTTCAAACACGATGTGTCTCTGGCACTGAAAGTGTTTTGAGACAGAACGAGTTTTCCCTGGGGGCGGAGGGGTGATGAGCTCCCTGACACTGGAGGTATTTCACAGTCGGACGCCTTTGCGAGGGAGCCAAAGGAGCTTCCACGCTGATGGGGGAACTGTTTAGATCAGATCTCTTCTAACAAGCGCCCCACACCCAGGCCAGCTCCTTGGGCACCACTGCCTGAGACAGACTATTGAGCTGGGTGCACCACTCTCTGACCCAGCACGGTAGTGATTTATGGAAAAGCTCAAAACATGCTCCGAGTTACATTCTTAATGCTTTCCTTTTATTCAGATATCGAATACCAATTATTATTAAATATTTAATCTCCCAGGAGAGTTGGTGGACCAGGATGAAGGCCAACCTGGTCACTCACTCACCCTCATGCCACAAACTCGTGGGCCGGGTTGGGGGGGGTCATTTCAGGAAACTTCCATTTGTCTCTCAGGTCCTAGGAGCACGAGAGGAGAGAAGGAAGACGTGTTGTTGACGACCATGGTGAGTGCGGGGCTTTTCTGAAAGCGTTCCGGTCTCTGCCAGCCATTAGTTGATTGGCTTACAGGGAGGGATGTGGGCACTTGTCGTTCTTGTGGTGGTCACGGCTGGGATTCCCATCACAGTGTGTTCCAATGGGTACAGCTCTGGCACTGAGGAGTCTGAACAGATGCCAGCCCGAAACCGTGGGTCAGGCTGTGCTGGTGCTTACAGGGCAGATGTAAGCCCCGAGGACAGGGCATTGAAGGGTAGGAGTTGCTGGGTGACATTGGACATTTGGTATGGAGAGCCCCTGAGAGAGGACTCAGAGAGAGAGGGTTTTCCAGCCTGAGTGAGGCCTCAGTTTCCTCATCTAGGGTTGTATCAAGGTTGAGTTCAGCTGTAAGTAGTAGAAACTCCCCAAATAACAGTGGCATACATAAGATAGCAGCGTTTTTCTCTCATGTGATTGACGTTCAGGACTGGTACGTTGTTGTGTGGAGTTCGGGGCCTCGGTTCCACTACCTGTTGGTCTCCTGGGGATGGCTTCTTAGTCAAGGTGGCTCTGGGCATTCCAGCCAGCAGGAGAGACGAGATGGCCATGGGCACCTAGGTGCCTTTTGAGAATTTTCCTGGAAACTCACATATCACTTCTGTTTACCTCAGATGGGCCAGGAGTTAGTCACATGGCCACATCACACTGCTCAGGAGGTTGGGAAATGAAGTCTTTGTTCCAGGGGGTTGTGTGCCCAACTAAATATCAAGGGCGTCTGCTAAGGAGGATGTGGAAGATGGATACTGGGGAACACCTAGCTCGTAGTCTGACTTAGGATGCTCTCTCACATGGCTATGGTTTTGAAATAAGGTCATCCACAGGGAGATCTTAGCATAGCGCCTAGTTCACAATGACCTGTTATCTGCTGCGTGACCTTCAACGTGCTACTGCACCTCTCTGGGCTCCTCCACTCTGGCATGAGAGCCTCCTGGTTGGGGTGGGACTGAAGTCCATACAATTGAGACCCTAATCTGGAGGCTGGCCAGGAGAGGGCAGTGTTGGAGAGGAGAAGGGAGCCGAGGAGCTGCCTTAGCAGTCCTAAGCCGCCTCAGGACTGCCCAGCAGCCATGAGTCTTGACCTGAATCTGCCTGCTCCTGTCCACCATGCAATAAGCATAAATTGGTGTCTCTGCACACGGTCTGTGGGAGCGTGTACTGCCTGACATTTGATAATATTAAAGAGCAATACTAACTTTCGGTATGATGACAGAAAGACTGTTACTGACATTTGGGAAGATGTTGTAAAATATAAAGGAGAAAAATAAAATCACCCATGATTACACATATAATCATAACTGGCATTTTGTGGTATATATCACTTGATCATTTTTCTAACATTTTTAGCACCTATGAATATGATATCATGACACACACACACACACACACACACACACATACACACACATTATAATAGCAGATACTTAACACAGCACTTGTACCAGCTGCTATTATATCACTTTACAGACATTCACTCATTTAACCTCTCCGATAACCATGCAGAGCAGGCACTGTTATCATCCCCATATTGTCCCGAGCTTGATTTGTTAACAGTTTTTCATTTTTTCTATGTCAGTGCACACTCTCTGTCCCCATTGCATCTAACAGCTGCATGACACAACATTCCATTCCATCATGGGAATGTGCCTGAGAGACCATGAAGCCTGACCTTTGGGCTCTGGGGTTTCTAGTTTTTTATTGTTGTTGTTTTAAAGCGCTGGTGAATATCCTGTGTCTCAGTTCCCCCCCACTAGCCTGATGATTTCCCCGGGATAAATATCTAGACATGGAATTTCTGGATCAAAGGGTGTGAATGTCAGTGTCATTGCTTTCCAGAAACAGGGCCACAATTTAGACTCTCCGCTGAAGGAGTGAACATGTCCCACTGTGGTGGGTTTGTGGCTCCTAGGTCATTTTCCAGTGGAGCCCCCATGTGCTGGATGGAATCGCTGAGGTCCAGAGGGAACAGCACTCGTTCACAGATTCTGAAAAGCCCAGTACAGCCATGCTGGGAACCCAGGGTGCCCCCTCTGCCTTGGACATCTCCTCTCCACCTCCTTGTGCCCTGTAGAGGGCAGCAGTATGCCCACCTGCCCCTTGGCAGATGGAAGCTGCTGGGGAGCCCTGCTGAGTGGGCATTTGCAGCCATCCTTGCGGAGATGCCCAGCTTGGAGGCAGGTTTAGCTGTGGGATGCCCTTCCCTGCAAAGCACCATCTGGCATGAAGTTCAGTCTTTTCTTAATTAAAGTTAGCGTGGACTGTGAATGCTTTCCCTTGACAGTGCGCCAGTCATGGTGTGGATTTATACTGACCCCAGATCACATTTTCAACATTTTAAATTCAGTTACAGTTAAAAATGCCAGCCGTGGGAGGTGTGGCTGGAGAGCAGGATGGGTGTGGTGGGATGAGGAAGGGAGTGTTTGCTGGGCTCACGGAGAGCTAGCCTGAGCCTGCCAGTCCCCTCCTCTCTCCCCTCCATCCTAAAGCCCCAGCTGTGATCACACAAGTCGCCTTGCAGTTGTGCACGTGGCCTGCTTCTCCCCAGGCCTTCCCACATTCTGTTCCCTCCATCTGCGACATCCTTTTCCCTGTCCTCCCCGGGCCAGCTTGCAGTGGCCTTCAGGCTCAGCTCAGGGGCCCCTCCTCCAAGATGCCCTCTCTGCCTGCAGCAAGGAGTGCCTCCCCTGTGCTCTGCCAGCTCCCCTGCCTGCCCCACAGCACACCCGACATCACTTGGCTTCACCTCGGCTCTCTGTCCTCTTCCTGTTCCAATCATGCTGCTGGGGATGGTTCCAGGAGAAGCCAGGAGCTGGAGCAGAGCAGATGTGGGTATTGCTCAGTTGCTGGGAGGGGAGCTGAGGACTCCGTGTGGTTTTCTGGCTTGGGTGGAGGGGTAGATTGGTGTCCTTCTGAGAAGCAGAAGGAAGCTGGAGTCTTGCTCTCAGAGCTGGGAGCCCTCCGGGGCCTTTGTCTAACCCACAGTCTGTCTTTTTTCAGCTTCGAAATGGAGCCCCCTTCACCAGACTCCCGAGTGACAAGCTGAAGGCCGTCATCCCCCCTTTCTTGCCCCCTTCCAGCTTTGAGCTGTGGAGCTCGGACCGGTCCAGGACATGTCACAACGGGAAGGTGGACCCCATGAAGACTGTGCTGCCCCAGAGAGCCAGCAGGGGCCACCCCATGGGCAATGGGAGCACAGATACCGTAAGTCGCCCAGCTGACACACTTCGATGTGTCACTCGCCACTCGCTAAAATAGTGATGTGTTGTAAGCACAAGGTCAGACCCACTAAACCATAGAGGTTAAATAAAGCTTTTTTATTTTATTTTCTTAAGTCAATGACACCATTTACCTAACGAAATCCTATAAGGGACTTAATATGTAAATAGATTACAGAGTTAGAGTGAAGGGAATGAAAGCAGGAACCCCACTTCTCTGTCCTCTCTCTGGAACCCCGGGACTCCAAGGAACACAGTTTGAAGACCTGAGCTAATTCAACCTTCCCTTCAGTAGCTGAGGACCCTGGGACCCAGAGAGGGGAAGCAATTTGCTGAAAATCACCTCGGTAGGGTACACCTGAGACCAAAAATCAGATTCTTGGCTTTTAATCAAGCTCTATACTACCCTGTTTCCCCGAAAATAAGACAATGTCTTATATTAATTTTTGCTCCCAAAGATGCACTAGGTCTTATTTTCAGGGGATGTCTTATTTTTCCATGAAGAAGAATACAGTACACATTTATAGTTAAATGAAAATAAAGGGAATTTATTACCTGTATACGGTACGGTAGTATAGTAGTTGTCAACACAAACCAGACAAACTGTGAATCCTACAATATCAAGAATTTACTCATTTATTCAATGACAATCATGTCATCATCTTCTGGAACATCATCGTAACAATCCAATTCCTGAATTTCCTGGTGAATTTCTTATAACTCCATTTCTTTCAGAATCCGTGGACCAAATCTCTCATGTTTAGCCTGGGGGGGGGGGGCTTATTTTTGAGGGGATGCCTTATATTTCACTCAGAAGGAAACCTGTAAGTAGGTCTTATTTTCGGAGGATGTCTTATTTTCGGGCAAACACGGTACGTTGTTGAGGTCCATGACCAAGAGCAAACACTAGGAGGCAGCTGTGTTCGATACTGGTGTTTTCTTGCACCCAGAAGGATTGTGATTTCATCCTCTGGACCATAGTGGTTTCCATCTCTGTGGCCCTCAGTGTCTCTAACACACTGAAGTATCCCTCTTGAGGGTGGGAGGTTATCTCCATGTGTAGATGGTCTACCCCGTGGCAATCCAAAGACGAGGATTTTGGACCTGCCCTGCTGCTCTGTGCTCAGTGACTGGAGAAGGTCAGGGCCTCCATCTCTGATATAAAATGGGGCTGACCCTTGTGCTTGCTGCTGCTTCCCTGGGCCACTGTAATATCAAATCTCTGCAGAGAAATCAACCTGCCCTGGAAATGGGCAGGGTGGGCTTACATTTGGTCCACAAAGTGGGAGGAGTGGAGTGATCCTGAAAGCAGGGTGACCTGTGGGAATTGATGTCACGGGGGCTCAACCTGAATTAATGGCCAGATTGTCAGCAGCTAAAAGTGAGCTCCCATCCTTAGGGGACTCCTAGCAGGCTGAGCACTGGTCAGCAAGGGTGTGCAGGGCAGATGCAGGCATTGTTTCTGGAGGGCCAGCTGAACTCCAGGCTCCTCCCCGCTGAGATTCCGGAGTCCAGGGGGAGGAACAGCAAACCCTAACCATCACACCATCCTTGTACTTGCAGACTCCTGTCAGGCCGGTTAAATTTCCATCTCTCTCCAGAAGCCCAGCCTCCCCTGCTAATTCTGGAAACTTCAACCACTCACCTCATTCCTCAGGTGGCTCCAGTGGGGTAGGGGGCATGAGTAGGCATGGCGGGGAGCTGCATAATCGCTCAGGTGGGTACCCGGGCAGGGCCATTTGGGGAGGTGGGGAGATCCCTTGGGGCTGTGCCCACTCTGCATACAGTTCCAGAAACAATTGCATGCACCTCATCTTCTTGATGTGGCCAAGGGAATTTTTCACTGACTTCACAATTCTGAGTTTCTTCCCTACATTTTCTTGGGGGCTGGAGTGGAGACAGAGGAAATAAAGTTTGTAGTACTTTAATTTTTTGAAAAATTTGACAAGAAATTAGGAGAAATGTATGGCGTTTCATGGTGTTTAAAATTCTTGAAGATAAAACCTCAGAGAGCTGTCTGTTCTTGAACAGATGAGGAAACTGAAGCTCAGAGTGGACAAGAGATTAGCCAGGGACATGCAGCAAGTCGGTGATAATTAGGACTCACGCCCGAGTGCCCCACAGTTATTTTGACCTTACAGCATACTTTCTTGTCCTCTCCAAGGGCATGCAGGATTAACCAAACCCAGCTTTGCAGGAAAGACACCCCTGCTTTATGCCATTACAAGGAATGCATATGTCTTGTAGAAAAGCTTTAAGACCAGATAAACCAAAAGGTAATAGTAATGATGATGATGATGATAAAAGGTATAATCTCATCCACTGGACATTATCAGTAACATTTTGGTATATGTCTTTGCAAAGTACTTTCATGCATATTGTATTTATGAAAGTGGAATAATTTATAGAGCACTGAGTATGTACCAGGCATACTATCAAACCCTTGAAATGAATTATCTTCTTCAGTCCCCCAACAGCCTGCAAGGATACATTCTCCATTTTACAGAGGAGGGAGCTGGGGCTCAGGAAAGCTAAATAACTCGGCCAAGGTCACACAGCGGTGAAGCAGCAGAGACAGGACCTGGACCCAGGCAGGCCGACTTCAGAGGATAGAGTGCTTGGCAACCTTTTCCTCTTTGCACACACATCACCCAAATGTGAACACCTTTTCATGTTCGTACACCTGTATCTGCAGCATCTTTTTATTATAATAGCCAAAGAGCAGTCCATTCATAAGAGTTATCACACTTTTATACAGCCAGTTCCTTATCTTGAACACTGAGGCTGTTCTAGAATTTTGCTCTTGTAGATAATAACCACATTAAGTAATGCTTTCCTACCTCCATATTTGCATACTCAGTGATTTGCTTAACATAAGTTCCCTCAAATCAGGGGTCAGTGAGTTTGTCTGATTTCAAGGCCTTTGATACGTTTTTGCCTTTCAGAATGACTCTTTTTATACGTGTAAAGTATTTACCGCAGTGCCCGGTAAATGCCCTGTAGATGTTAATGATCAGTGTCCTCCCTCTGGCATCTCTCCGAGCCCTGCGTATTGTCACTTTCCTTTTTTCTTTCATAATTACTCAAGGTTGCCAGGTGATTTGGGGGAACTGGGATAGGGAACGTGGTAGTCAGGGTTCAAGCAGGGAATATGACATCCGGGTGCTAAGAATGAGGAAGTTCTGGAATGTGAAGGTCTGAAAGGGGGAGGCAGAGGTGGAGGGAAGAGCCCTGGTGAGGCTGGACAGATGGAAGGCGCTGCACAGGGCTGCAGTGGGAATTCAGGGCAGGGTGGGCAGGCACCTGTGCCTGCGGGAAGCTGGCTAGCTGGCTATGGTGCGGGGCAAAGTGAGGACAAGCTGATTTTGCCAGTCCTGCATCCTTCACTGCCTCTAACCATGAAGCTTTCATCACACAGTGGCCACTGCATCTTGGCCACTTCTAGTTCTCCTGCAGTGTCCTTTCATGGTCAGCCCTGACCCAGAATCACATGGAGAGGGATTCTGGGAGATGTGGTTTCTGGCTCCTTCCGGTCAGCACAGGGAGTCCATTGCACTGTGACAGTCACTCCCATTCCTCTTTTCGCAGGTGGCAGCATAGACAGTGTCCTGTCCCAGATTGCTGCCCAAAGAAAGAAAGCAGCCGGACTCTCTGAGCAGAAGCCCAGCCATCGGTCAAGTCCTATTGGGCCAGCCCCTGGGTCCAGCCCTTCTGAACAACCGGTCTCCCCTGCAGGTGGTGGCAGTCCCGGTGGCAAGGTGCTTGTTCTGCTTCTGTCTCCTGTTCTGTCCTAACATGGCAAACATGCTGGGTGATGGGACTCCAGACAGGCCCCTTCCAGCAGCTGCTCCTAGGTTTTCTGAGAAGGGCTGGACTGTGTGGGTAGTTGCTGAGGTCACGCCCTATGCCCTGGGTCCCCCGCACACATGGTCATCTCCCGTCTGATCTCCAGGGCCTCAGCAGATGCCTTACCCAGCCTCACATTGCACATGTTTGCTCATTGGTTAGAGCAAAAGGCTTCAGAGTGTGGGTTCAGGAGCAGACTGCCAGGGTTCAAATCCCAGCTCCACACTTTAGCATTTAGGATGGGGCCTGGCCCCTGGTGAGGCTGTGTGTCAGCTGTGTTGACATTTTTGGCACTACCTTATTCATTCATTTGGAGCTTCTGCTCTGTGCCTGGCACTCTAGCAGTAAGGATCCTGCAGTGGTTTGGGGTCTTGCGACCATCAGGGGGTCACTGTGACACACGCAGTTTCACCTCTGTGGTACGTGCTGTTGTGGAGAAGGGAGGACGCCCTCCCAGTTTCAGGGCGTCAGTGACATCTAAATGGGGAGCAGAAGAATGAGGAGCCAGATGGAAGGATCAGGAGTGAGACTGTTTCAGGATGAGGGGACAGCTGCGCAGCACTCCAGAAGCCAGAGTATACAGAGGGGAGGGGCTGAAGGAAGGCTGGTGAGCAGGACAGGAAGAGCCAGAGCCTCACCTGCCTGCTTTGAACCATTCCTCCAGTGATGCAGCCCAAGAGCCATCACTGCATTGTTTGCATCTGTGGGGTTTGCAATGGGCAAGAGACCCTAAATGCTTCTCTGGAATGGTGCAGGGACGCCCAGTTCCTCCTCTGAGAGGACACCAAAGCCAGGCGTAACCCCATTCTTTGTCATATTTTTTTAGATCTTAAGCTTAAAGTTAGGTCACCTGAAGGTCTCATCCGTGGACCTTTGTCCAGAAGTGCCTCCAGAGGTTGATGTGTTAATGATGAATGGGAAACAGTCTTTGTTTCCTGCCCAGCCACTGTTCATTACACACTTGTTATTCAAAGTCCCTTTTGCAATTGGACCTACATAATTATGCTCCTTTTACAATATAGCTCCAGAAAAAGTTTCTCTCTTTATGCATTAGCATATTATCCATTATATTGAAATTTTCTTGGGTAATAGGATCTATGTAATTAAGTTCCTTTTGGAATTTGGTTCTTGGAAAAAGATCTCTATTGATACTTGGATATGTTTTCTTTCCACAAATAGTATGAATTATATACTTATTGTATTACTCTTTTTTTGCCTTTGCTGCTAGGAAACTCAGAACTACTCATTAAAGTAAATTTGCTAGTCTGCGCTCTGATATAGTTGTCCTCTGTTGCCTAAAATTTCCTGCTTCTATTTTGATGACCTTATTAGATGTGTTGGATATTATTTCTTTCCTTTAATTGGTGTTGGAAATAGACATACAAATTATAAATTATATTAACTATTGTTTCACATGAATGCATCTATCATTTATAATCTCTATACATGCATATTCTGATGAATGGAAATTGTGTCAAAAGATGCATTCGGGAAAGAATAAACTGGGGAAACGATCCAGTACAATGATCACCTGATAGTCTTAACATAATGATATGCTGTAACCTTCAGGTTTCTGGGCTCCACCCAGCATAATGAATGAACTCTCCAGACAGGGTCTGGGGATTCTGTTTTCCCCCCAGAGCGTTGAAGCCATCCCAGCTCAGGGCTCTCAGAAACCACTGCCCTAAATCAAAGGACACCAGGAGTGGCTTTCTGTCAGTGGCTCCAGCAGCAAAATGGAGACATAAAGGGCTTTTCAAAGACTCCCTCAGGAAGCATTAGAAATTAGTATTCAAAATATGATCCTCCTGAATCTGGTTTTTGTACTTTGCTTAAAACAAGCTCTACTGTCATAGTGGAATGTTCACAAGGCATGGCTTCTAGCTGGCTTGTGAGTCAGCATGAAGTGAGCCTTAGGAAGCACAGAATGGGGAGTTCAGAGCATTTTCCTACACTTCCCAGATCTCCGAATGCCTAAAGGTTATTTCTGCTTCCACCCTAAAGCTGAGTGGTTTAAAACAAAAAAGCATTTCTTTAGCTCATGAATCTGCAGGTCAGCAGTGCAGGGAGGAGTGGACAGGGAGGAGTGGGCATGGGCCCAGTAATGTAATCAGTCTTCTATATTGAGGACATAGGGAATAGTTCAGATATTTCAGAGCACCTAAATCTTGTATTTACCTGCCCCCTTCCCAATAATGCTGCCCACAGGTCCCGAGTATCATGTTTCTTTGCTGTTGTCTGGGGTAGATCTGTTTTATAGACATATACTAATGAAGAACTTTTAGGTAAAAACAAGATACTTAGCTCAAAATATCTTCCCCCAAATATTTCTTTATTATGAAGGGAAAAAGAGTAACTTTCCAATGGGAAAACCCAACAGATACCATCTTACCTAAGTAATGAAGGTTAACATCATCAGTAATAAGATACTGAGACTTTGTGCCTCCTGGTATGACATGCTAAGAATGACACATCATGTCTGTGGTCATTGACCCAAAAACCCATAAGCAAATCTAATTATGAGAAAACATAAGAGAAACCCAATTTGAGGGACAGTCTATAAATATCTGACCAGGATTCTTCAAAAGTGTCATGGTCATGAAAGATAAGGTAAAACTGAAGAGCTGTCTGTCACAGATTGGAGGGGATGAAGACGTGACAAGTGTATGGAGTGGGAAGCTGGACCAGATCCTGATGAGAATGAGGGCATTAGTGGAACAAGCAGTGGAATGAAATCTGAGTAAAGTCTGTAGTTTAGCTAACGGTGTGTCCCAGTGTTAATTTCTTCATTTCGATAATTGTACTATGGTTATGTGAGATGTTAACATCGAGGGAAGCTGGCTGAGGGATACACAGAACTATGTTTTTGGAATTCTTCGGTAAATCAAAATATTTCTAAATTAAAAAGTGTTTTTAAAACCAAATGGTAAACACACACACACACACACACTGAGACAATGTGTCCTTTGGTGAAAGGTTGGAAGCAATTGGTTTAGATCACATGTGTCAAACACAAGGCCCGCGGGCCAAATCCGTCCCGCCAGGCCTTGCAATGTGGCTCGCACTGCGCTGTCATCACTGCACTCCGCTGCGTTTCCATCACAATGACAGTTTATGACTGTTTAGTAAACCATTTGGCCCGCGATTTAGGCTGGATTTTAGATTTTGGCCCCTTCTCTGATTGAGTTTGACACCCCTAGTTTAGATGATCAGACATTAAGAACAGAAAGGGGTTTCGTGTGTACATAAGCCACACTTTCATGTTAGAACTGGGTTAACTGAGAGGTAGGGGACTTGGCCAAGGACCTGATGCTAGTAGAGGCAGGACTAATCCCTGAATTTCCTGACTTAATGGGCCGCTTTTTCCATCCCACTGCTCAGCTCCAGGGAGGATTCTCCCGTAACTGTTCTAGTAATAATACTGTGTTTACTTTCATGTGTTTTTTATTATTATTATTTTTTTATTTTTTCATGTGCTTTTTTAAAAATAAATTTCATAATCCTGGTTAGATATCCTGTTGAATGTTCTCTGTTGTATGTCTGTTTTAATCATTTCACCTTCCAGGTGATAGCTATGTATTTGTCTTAATCTTTTGTGCAGAAACTGGAGATGAGCAAAAGGCCTCCGTCTGGAACTTCCACTACCTCCAAAAGCACCTCCCCCACCCTCACCCCCTCCCCTTCGCCCAAAGGCCATGCGGCCGAGTCCTCGGTGTCCTCCTCTTCGTCCCACCGGCAGTCCAAGAGCAGTGGGGGCTCTAGCAGCGGCACCATCACCGATGAGGGTGAGTCCCCTGAGGTCCTGAACCCCACCCTTCACTTCACCATGGTGACCTGGCAGGTGCCTTTCATTGCTATAGTCATCCTAGGTCAGGCTTATTGGTTACAAATAAACGACAACACTGGCCCCTCCCCTTCCCTGATTCTACCTTGTATTTTTGTCTTCACTGTGCTTAAGGTATGGTAAGCTACCTCATAGGTTTTGAATGTAGTAAGTTTTGTTGATATACACAAACACATGCCACTAGAACTATTTCTCCAACAGCAGTTAGGGACTACTCCCTGAACCTTGTATAAATCAGAATTCTTTCAGTTGCAAGTGATGGAATCTCCACTCAATTGCTTTAAGCAAAAAGCAAAAACAAAACCTCATCATTTGTTGGTTCATATGATGGATATGTCTAGGGTGTGCTTCAGGCATGTCTGGATCCAGGTGCTTTGGGAATATTTCTCTCCACATCTCACGTAGGCTCTCTCTGAGTGATGACAAGGTTGTTCCCAAGCAGCTTTCGGCTTACTTCCTCTTCCTACTAACTTAGCAACCCCAGCAGAAAGAGCGCTGACTTCTCAGTAGATCCAACGAAATCCCAAGCGGAAAGGCCATTAGCCTGCTGTGGCTATATTTATCACAACTTGTGTCATCCTTGACTACCTCTGGGTCCACGGGGGTAAATGTGCTGACTGGCCAGGCCCAGGTCTTGTGTCTGTCTTTGGAGCTAGGGTTGGAGTCTGCACTGCCTACACAGTATGGATTGGAAGTGAGAGAGAAATGGCTCTTCACAGGAAAATTGAAGTGCTGTTTCCAGAAAGAGGAGGAGGATGGATACCGGGCAAGCAAAAGCTGTAGACGTCCACTGCTAGCAGGACTTGGGACCTGCACGCATGAATTGAAGCCTCTCCCGAGGGGGTGATGAGGGAAAGGAGGAGCGGATGGCAGGGCAGGCGAGGAGGCCCAGCATTGAGGCCCCAGGAAAGATAAAAGGGAGATGAAGAGAAGAAGGTCATATATTAACACTGCCCTGGAAGTGGGGGTGGGGAAGGAGGGAGCAGAGCTCCCGTGAGAAAGAGGGGCCCAGACAGGTGCAAATCAAGGAGTATAAATCAGAGAGGGGTGGAGAATCTCAGTGTGCATATGGGCCTCACCAATGCATTTGCAGGTCCCTCCCTGCAGCTGCAGGGCGGTCGGGCTGAGCAGGTTTCTGCCCAGCAAGTGATAAGTCAGAATCAGCTGCTTAGGCTCTAGTCTGTCCTGAGTTGATAAATGCATGCTGCTGTTGGCATCCTCTTTATTGTTTTGTGATATCTAGTGCGATCATTTATAAAAGCTTCAGATTTCACTAGCAAGCCCATTCCTCCTGTGTTTTCTAGGTGGAATCTTTAAGTTTTTACTCATGAATTCTCTCACCTCAGAGGCTTCCAGGAGTTGAAACCCCTAATGATTCAATTAGATATTTGTACCTCACCTTTTTCCAAAACAGTTGAGACAGTGGACATGTGCATGCATTGTCCATGCCCACTCTTTCCCCCTTTTATTCATTATTTAAAAGGTGTGCAGAGCCCTAGTTGGGATGGAAAAAAGAGGAGGACTTGTCAGCGAGTTCTTTTTGGGTTAACTTCTCTTTCTTAGAAATTAAAGCTCAGTTTTTCCTTCTGGGGCTTGCGGGTCCTGGGGCAATGAGATCCTTGTCCTGTGGGCATTAGATTGTCGCAGAGTAGATGCTGAAATCCATCGATAAACAGATGTTCTTTATATTTTTATGGGAAATGTGTGGGCCCCAATCAAGGGCTGCATGCAAGCCTTTGCTGCCCATCTTTCCATCCGCGTCCCTCTCTCCGGACTCCTATTGGAAGTCGCCTTCTCACTCTCACATTCATCTCATGAAGGCTTCTAGGCAGGCACTTCGTGTGCTGGGTGGTGGGATAACTCACCATCAGGCAGGGGAGTCAGATGCATTCAGTGGAATGTCATGAAATGATTGTAACACAAGATGTGAGCAGCAAAGTGTAGAGTTCATAGCAGGCTTCGCCAGAGCGGGCATTCAGCCAGGCCACAGGGCTGAGAAGAAATGAGGCAGTGGTGGGCCGGAGCTGAGTGTTAACTTTACAGGAAATGTATGAGCTGGTGATTAAACACAGCTATTAAAAGTCAAATTACAACAATTGTGTGTATATATATATATATATATATATATATATATATATATATATGGTGATGAAAAAGGAAAAAGAAGTACATGAATTTATAATTAGATAAATTACATTAAGTATAAAGGCATTGGTATTTAAAACAAAATTTTTTTTTGCCTTTTTTTAGTGTGTTTTCGTAACATCTATGCTCTTGAGGTTATTTACATCTTGTTCATGGATATGGTGGGAATCCTATATAATAAAAGGCTAATATGCAAATCGACTAAACAGCAGAGCAACCACACGCTGCCCACAAGGGGGCAGGCGCTCAATGCAGGAGCTTCCCCCGGGTGGTCAGTGCACTCCCACAGGGGGAGGACCTTCAGCCAGAAGGCAGACATAGACCTGGGCCTGCTCCAAGCCGTCAGTCAGACATCCCCTGAGGGCTCCTGGACTGCTAAAGGGTGCAGGCCAGGCTGTGGGACCCCTCTCACACGTGCATGAATTTTGTGTATCTGGCCTCCAGTATTATATAATGATGCATTAATCCTGTATTTCTCTTCCCAGTTCCATTTTCAGGAACATTACATTGGTAGGTTGAAATCAGCTATGATGGGTGTATTTTACATCATGGAAATCCACAAACACCACCAGTCAGGGCTAAGTTTGTTGTTTTATAGCTCACCTAGACGTGACCTAGTTCATGGGAGTCAATGTTAACTGCACGTTAAACTTAAAAGTGTCATGTCTGGTACTGATATGCTGTGAATAGCACAACAAATTGAGAAAATATTCTTCCAGGATTTGAAAACTGTTATCTAATTCAGCAAAGTTTGCTCACATGAAGTTCTAACCTACTATAATAGTATGTCTTCATTGTTTCATTTCATCTTACATATCACATAAAAGGAACAATTAACCAGCCTTTATGTTGGAAATACGTTGTGCTTCCTAGCTATAGGTACAAGAATTCAGTGAGACACCTGAAATGCAATGAGAACAGTTGCTATATGGAATTTATAATAAAGAGTATTGTATAACCTATTATCATATGTAAATTGTGCATTACACATTCTTTATGTCAGTAAACTCTGCAGGAAACTTACATACCTATGCACATGAATACATTTCCCCTGAGAGGCACTTGTTAACCATTTAACAGCACACCACTGTGGAAGAAGACAGCATGTGGAGGGAACAGCAGGAGCAAAGGTTTTGGTGTCATGAAACTACATTGGATTATGTCTGAGTTGGGACTCAATTCATTGCATACATCCTAGCTCAATAGCAGCTCTTCTGTGAAAGACCTCCAGCTCCTTTGGCTGGGCCAGCTGTCCTCTCTGTCCCCAGACCCCCTTGTTTGTGCCCTTCACTCATCACCAGTGGGAGAAGTGGCAGAGCGTGGTGAATAGTACAGACCTGGTAGCTAGAGCTTGGGTTTGAGTCCCCTTGGACTGGCTGTATGATCTACTCAGGATATGGCACCTAACCTTTCTGTGCCTTACTTTCTCATCTGTAAGTGGGAAAGTAATAGGATCTACCTCATGGGGTTTTGTAAAGAGCAAACAGGTCATCCATGTACCAGGTGCCTGATGGTGAGCAGTGTGCATCAGTTGTTACCTCTTCATTATATCTTCCCAGCCACACTGAGCTCCTTCATAGCAGGAACCTTCCATGCTGGCATTCCCAGCACATAGTAGACACATTGGTAGCCACTGTGGGTTGAGTGAATAAAAGAAGGAACTCAGGCCTTTTAACCTCCAGTTCACTCTTCTGTGAACTGCACCCACTGCCCCAGGACCTTTGCACTTACTGTTCCCCCTGCCTGCTACTCTTCCCTTAACATCTGCACAACTTCATTTAGTGCTCAAAGGATGCCTTATATTATAAAAGAAACCTTTCCTGACCATTCTCTATAAAACAGCATCCTAAGCCATCAGTCGGACATCCCCTAAGGGCTTCCCGTCTGCTAGAGGGCGCAGGCCGGGCTGAGGGATACCCCCCAACCCCCAGGTGCACAAATTTTGTGCATCGGGCATCTAGTGTTATATAATGATGCATTAATCCTGTATTTCTCTTCCCAGTTCCACTTTCAGAAACATTACATTGGAAGGTTGAAATCGGCTATGATGGGTGTATTTTACATACTGTTCTGTTCCTCCTTTGTCAGCCTGCTTGTCGTCTATTTGGTCCCTATTGAGTCCTCAATGCCTAGTCTGATAAATACTTATTGAATGTGTGAATAAATATTTCTTCAAGCCCTCAGATGCTGGTCTTGTTTTCTTTTTCTACCCTCCCTACTTTGATATCTCGATACCCAAAATATTCTGTTTTCCCCTGGTCTCTGCCCCTCTGGCGCTGCTGCTCCACTGAGATGTGACCTTCTTACTGGAAGCCCACAGCTTCTGCACACATGAGCCTAACCCCGACTCTGGTCTCAACCGCACCTGCTTCTTTCTCTTAAGTTCTTTCTCTGACTAGCTGGGGACTTGCTGGCATTAGCGTTCACTGCAGGTGCAGAGACCAGCAGTCAAGAAACCATAACTAAAAACTGTTCTTGGACAGAAGGCGGAGTTTTAGTTCCAGCAGCTAGAATACCAGGAACTTAATGGTTGCAGCCATTGGAGAGTCAATGAAAGTTTGAAGTTCGCTCTTTTGATACATTTATCAAATTTTAAAATGGTATTTTTTTTTCACATCTTTCCCTCTTGAAGATGAACTGACTGGAATCCTTAAGAAATTGTCACTTGAGAAATACCAGCCCATTTTTGAGGAGCAAGAGGTAAGGATGTTCTTTCTGAATGTCAATTTAAATCTTGCTGTTAAAAACATTTGTCTAAATATGTGGGTTTTCATTTTGCCAGCTTTGATCTTTTTCACTGAGACAGCTGAGGAAATAGAATTCGTGTTCAGCACATTTAGTTCAGTTCATCACAGTGAGATCCTGGGGACCTTATGGCTTGTTTTGTTGTAATAAACGTTTGTAATTTTGAGCGCTGCTCTCTCTCTCATCAAGTTTGAGTCTGTCCACACACTTGTCAAAGGGGATTGACTGATAGGACTGTAGGTTTAAAGCGGATCAGAGGCACATCCTAATGATTCTGTGCTAAGTGTCTGGCTATAGAGTCTGTGTTCATCTGAGAGAATTCCTATTTGCTTCAAAGCACTCACAGTCACATATTTCAAATATGACTGTCCTGTAGTCTGGTAGTCTCTCATAATGTTAAACATAGAGTTACTGTCTGACCCCACAAAGGTATACACCCAAGAGAAAGGAAACACATGTCCAAACAAAAATTTGTACACAAATGTCCATAGCAGCATTATCATAGTAGCCAAAAGGTGGAAAGCACCCAAATGCCCATTGCACTGTACAATGGACTGTAACTTGGTCATAAAAAAGGAATGAAGCATCGACACATGCTACAACAGGATGAACCTTGAGAACATGACACATTGATAAGTGAAAGAAGCCAGACACAAATGGCTACATGTTGTATGACTCTGTTTATATGAAATGTCCAGAATAGGCAAATCTGTAGAGACAGAGATTGCTAGGGAATACGGGGAGGATAGATTGAGGAGTGATTTCTAATGGACAGGAAAATGTTCTAAAATTGAGTGTGGTGATGGTTATACAACTCTACTAAAAACCTTTGAATTGTATACTTTAAATGGGGGGACTGTATAGAAGATGAATTATATCTCAATGAGCTATTAAAATATTTCTTCTTTTGGCCAAATAAAATTCTGTGGATTAAGCCAGGGTGTAATCACTGGTTTAGAATATTCTGGTGCTCAGTTTAGTACATGGAACTGTCATAAATATAGTACGCAATCAAGAGAATCAGTCCTTGTCCCTAGCAAGCTCAAGATGCAATTAAGGAGTTTGTATTTTCTTTCAAGAAACGGACTGGGGTGATATGACTTTCTTCCTCGTTTTGCTTTTCTGCCCTATCCAGTCTGTCCTTCCCGTCTTCCTGGAGTTTTCCATTTGAGCAGGGATTTTTATGGTCAACAAGAAAGTCTTTTCTGTTTGCTGATGGCTGCCTACTCTTGCTTTACATATTCCCTGCCTTCCGAGGAGCTGGCCACAGGGAACTGGATGTGGCGTCTCTGCCACATGTCTGGGATGGGGGCAGAGGGGAGTGAGTGTCTTGCCTGTCAAGGGGCAGGTGGTTTCAGTCAAAACCATGGCACTCTTTCGTGCCTGAGCTGTAAAGTCCCAGAGGAGCTGATCGTCAGAGAGATGGGGGATGGATTGGATGCATCTCAGAGAGAGCTTGGGATTGGATAAGGGAGTAGATCTTTTCCCACCAACTCAAACCTGGGCCAAGGTTTTTTTTTGTTTTTGTTTTTTAAATCTGGGAAAATAAAGTGACTGTTAAAAGAGAGAAGGAAAGATGGGGTGGAAGGTGTTTCTCCTGGAGCTGAGGCTCAGGCAGGAATGACAGAAAGGATTTCTCCTGTAGAAATCAAGTTACTGGGGCCAGACAGTAACTCTGTACGGCTTTGGGATGCCTTTACTCTGAGCCCTTCTCCACCTCCGTTCGCTGTGCTTTTCTTTCCTTATCGCTTCTGCTTGTTTATTTTCCCTATCTTTCCACAGTCTGCGTCTCTTGTCCTCTGGGGGGAAACATGGTGAGTACTTCCATTTACCCTTACTTTCTGTGCAGTAGTCAATATTGTTAAAAGTCCCACAAAACTGGGATTTACTGTCTAACAGCAGGACTGGGACATTTACCACTCTAGCCACCCAGATTACTGCTCGGAGGCTTTTCTTACTTTTCCATCTTCAGGATTTTCCAGAAAATTCCAGGGCTGGAGTTCAGGAGAGTTAGTTCTTACTGATACTTTCAACTAAACCTTCAGCATAAAGTCAGGAATTGGAAATAGTAAGTCATAATTAATTCACTACTAATAAGCACTAATAGCTCATAATCATGATATTTCCATCGTGGTTGGGCACAGAGGTGTGGCACCAGGCGGATGGTAGCGAATTCCCCACTTTCTCCCCAGGTGGATATGGAAGCGTTCCTCACCCTCACTGACGGCGACTTGAAGGAGCTGGGTATTAAGACAGATGGATCCAGGCAGCAGATTCTGGCAGCAATTTCTGAACTGAATGCAGGCAAGGTATTGTTCTCAATCGTTTTTATTTTTTCTCCCCCTGTTTTCAACAGCTCAGAGCTCTACTAGGATTCTAGGCCCTCCATGTTTCCAAGGATCTTCGGAGTCTAATTTTATCCCCGGCATATTTGACAGAGGCTGGCTCTGCTTGCATGCATCTCATGACCAGGTGCCTCCGAGTGAGACCTGTTCCTTTTCCAGGTCTCTCTTCCCATAAGGTTGTTTCTCTTGAGATTCAGCTAAAATCGTCCCTCCAGCCGAAACCGGTTTGGCTCAGTGGTAGAGCGTCGGTCTGCGGACTGAAAGGTCCCAGGTTTGATTCCGGTCAGGGGCATATACCTTGGTTGCGGGCACATCCCCAGTAGGGGGTATGCAAGAGGCAGCTGGTCGATGTTTCTCCATCATCGACGTTTCTAACTATCTCTCTCCCTCCCTCTCTGTAAAAAATCAAGAAAATATATTTTTAAAAAATTTAAAAAATAAAATAAAATCGTCCCTCCAGTAATTTGAACCTATAGGGCTGGGAAATGCCCTCAAGAGCACACTGGAAGCAGGGACAGTGATTAAGACATGCGCTGCTGTCAGGCCGACCTGTGTCTGAATCACAACACCTGCACTCACTCCCTGAGCTACCCTGGGCAAGTCAGGTAACTCTCTGAGCCAGGCTCTCCTTGTCTATAAGGCAGGAATGATGGCATTGATGCCAGGACTAAAATGCTTCGAGCTCCTGGCACACAGCAACCCATCAATCACTGTTGGTATTGTTGGCATCCTGCGTTTTTGTCTAATGTTAAATTTCACCTTTCTCACCCAAAGGCACACATGTGCAAAACACAAACAAACAAACAAACAAACAAACATGAAAAGCAAATCACACCCACTTTGTAGATATTAGTCCGGCAGTCATGTTTCAGTAGCATCTGGCCATTGACATGCCTTTGCCTTCTGCGTTTTCCCCTAATCTGGGCTGGGTTTATCGTCTCTCATTCCAACAACAATGTACAATACTTGCTTATCTGCTGCTTTTCCACACTTTGCCTAACGGCTCCCCATTTGTTGCACTATAGTGCCTCGTCTGGGATTTTGCTGTTACAACAACTACCGTAGTAGACATCTCTGCCTCTTGTCCTTCTGTGGTTTATTCTTCAGATACGAGGTTATGTCAGAGAGCATGATCGGTTTCATGGTTCTTTGTATTGCCAGGTATGCACAGAAGTATTGACCAGACTTGTAGCACCAATAGCAAATAAATATTCAGGAAGCACTTTGTCATCCATAGCAGAGTTGCATACGCTTCCTCAGTTAATTGGCTTAGTTTTCAGACCTTCCTCCTTTGGCCTTCAGAGATGTGAGCCAAGGAGAGGATGGAGATGGGGAAAGCCACATGTGGGCCAGTAAAGGAAGGACAGAAAAAGTTCTAGATGTAGAACATTTTAGCCTAAATTAAAAAGAAAAAAAAAAGAATATTAACTAAAAACCTGTCTCAGCCATAAAGAAAAATCAGCAAAGCACTGTGGACCCTCAGCCTGTAAGCCATGTAACTTCCGTGCAAACCCACTCTAATATTCAGGCTGCTCTATGTATGTGAGTTGGCTTATTAGTTAGTTTCAAGAAGTTTATATGTTGGAGAAAGTTACCCAGAAATGATCACCTGAGTTTCACCTTTGATTGGTCTTAAGCCATTGATTGCTTTTTTCTTCCCATTCCCACTTTTTTGTGATTATCAAAGCAGACATATTCATTTTACTAAATTTGCACAGTAACCAAAAAGGTGAATTTTTAAAGAAACCACAGTCCATCCACCCAGAGGCCAAGACTGTTTACATTTGAGAAGATTACTCTGCAGTATTCTGTGCCAAATGTTTGCCTTTATGTGGCTGAGATACATATTTTTTTTACATCCTACCTTCTTTGTTTAACATTAAATATGCAGTTACCCATGCCATTAACAACTCCTTTTAATATAATAAGTTTGCATGGATCTACCAAAGTTACTATTTTTAAATTCCCACTTGTTGGATGTAGATATCCAAACTTTCTCTAGTGCTGCAGGGGGCAACTTTGTGTTTATGGCTTTCTAATAATCTGCTCAGAATAGACGTCTAAAGTGGAATTATAGAGCCAGAGAGTCTAATTCAAGGTATATGTTATCTTCTCTTGAATTACTTTCCAGAAAGAGCCAGTGAACATCCCCACTAGCTGTGGGTATGAGTTTGATATGTTTTTTAATTTTCATTAATTTGATAAGCCAAAACATGTGCCTTGTTTTAATTTGCATTTCTTTAACTATTAGACAAAATACTTTTTCTACTTTTAGTGGCTGTTTGCTTTTTTTCTTTTGAGAATTATCAGGCAGGTCCTTTGAAACTCAGGGGATTTTAGGGGCAGTTATCATCATCATCTTTAATCAGTTGTGGATGCAGGAACGATTGTGGTTTTTATCACCCACGGTTCCCTCCTGAGGTTAGGAGGCAGAGAATGCTGGAACCCTGTCTCTCTCTGACCTCGTTTCTCAGGCAATTAAGGCTGAGGTGATGCTTAATAATGGCATCGCTGTCACCCTCCTGTTTATTTTTTCGCCTTCTGCAGTTTGCATAGTGTCACCTCATTCATTATCTCAGGTTGAGCCTCATCACAGCCCCAGCATGCGACATTATCCCATTTTATAGGCATGGACACTCAGCGGTGGGGGGAAGAGGTGCATCATGCCTTAGGAGGCCCCCACCAGTGAGCATAGAGAGGGGACTCAGGATCCTCCACCCCCACACCTGCTCCTCTGCTCCTATGCTGCAGCCTTCCGGTTTGTGTGGATGAAATCCTGGTGGCATTTTCCCAGCTTATTTAAAATGACCTGGAAGAGCTAACTGAAGGGAGACTCCCTCTGCCCTGTCAGGTGTCAGGGGCACCATGTCAGCACTAGAAAGCTCCACCTGGGAGTCTGGAGAGGGGCCCCTCTGGATGTGGGGAGTTCATGAAATGAGAGAGTTTGGTGTCTGCACTCATTTAATGGACTTGTATTCTTTTTATTCTTAGCAGAGAATAATCTGCTGAGAGTACTCATTTTTAATTTGCTTTACAATTTTAACCACATTTATTTATTTTTCTTGTTTTCTAAATATTTATTTTTTTGGTTTTAAAAATATATGTTTAAGCCACACTGCTACCTTTTGAGGGCAGGAACTGTAGGCTTCTGCTGCTTACACAGGGTCCGCTGTCAGCAGCAGCCATTTAAGGTGCTATTATTATCCCTGTTTGATAAATAAGGAAACCAAGGCCCAGAGAGACAAAATTCTTTGCTCAAAGCCACAGAGCTAGTAAATGCAGAGATGGGATTTGAACCCAGGCTGTTTGATTCCAGTCTTTAGTCTTAACCTCTGTGTATTGCTGCCTCTTGGCCAGGCATTCAGTGGGGATGTTCTCTAGGCTTAAAGACACATTTACATCCCCTCCTTTTCTATCTCGAACTGTGTGTGTAAGGGGGCAGGGAGGGGAGATCTTGCAGGGATGGGGTGAATCACTGTGAATAGGCATGTGACATCCTTTGGGCAAGGAGGAGTAAGGCTGTTCAAACTCTCACGCTGTAGCAGAAAGAAGTCTGGCTCCCACAGAATCCCCTGGAAACCCAAGGGCTGGAAGATCATAAAAAGCAAAGCAGGGGAGATCATCTCCTTTCCATGCCATGTGACCCGGGCAAGTCAGTCCTGCTTCCAGGGCTCTGCTGTCCATGCTCGTCCCTGGGTACTGGACTCCTGTGTCTCGGGGCCTCTCCAGTCTTTGGCATGCTGTGATGGTGGGTACTGGGGGAGAGCCTGACTCAGAGTGTGTTATTAAACTTGGTACTCAGTCAATTATTTCCCTAAGACACCCATAGCTTCTTCAGGTATGAGTTGAACATTAACAGCACTGTGTCAATTGAATTAATGGTTAAAAGATTGAACAAAACTTTCTGTGTCTGTTTTCCATTTCCTCCACAGGGACGTGAGAGACAGATTTTACAGGAAACCATTCACAACTTCCATTCTTCCTTTGAGAGCAGCGCCAGCAACACCAGAGCGCCTGGAAACAATCCCTGTACATGATCCTCCTTCCTGTGGCCACCAGCGTGAACTTTCTGAATCTCAACACTGCCTCCACACAGCCAGTGTACCAGCCACCCTCAACTCTTCCCGGTTCCCCGAAACACTCATACCACTGTGCCTTAGTCATGTTGTTCCCTCTGTCTGGAACACCCATCTTTCCCTGTCCTGCTGTGGTAGTTTGGGGGCCCAGCTTCTTTCATCTGTGACTGTGCCTTCCCAGGGGCCTCAGAGTCTTTTCTGGCTGGCAGAAGAGGAAAGGGATGGTGAAGGTGAAGGCACAGCCATTTCTTACTGCCTTGCTCTTAACTGCACCTGTTCCACTGGCTCCTCCTACTCCCATTCATCAGTGGTCACCAGCAGTCACATGGCCATACCTGGATGCAAAGGACACTGGGAAACGTAGTCTTTGTTCAGGAGTGGCTTCACAGCAACAACTCCTTCCTGAGGAAGAGCATGTTTTGGTAGATTAGCCTTTTCTGCTACATCTTTCTTTAAAACTTCTAACTTGTTCCCCACACTTAGACTCATCTCTCAGATGAAGCCTTTTCTAACCCCTCCAGTCACTGGGGCCCTTACTGCTTTGTACATAACTCTGCTTTAATACTTCACTGCACCTACTGCATACAAGATGCAACAGGATGTGTGTGTTGAATGCGCTTTTCTTTATTGCAAAGACAGCCTTTTATCCTGGAAAATGGAGGAGTCTCATTGTGTGAACTTGAGAGATCCCTTAGCTTTCTGGCCCTCAGTTTCCTCATCTGTGGTCAGGCAAGATTATGCTCTGATACTCCACACCACTCATCCCAGGTCACTGTAGGACTTTCTGCACTTCAAGTGGGAGCAGAAGGCCTTAATATATTACATTATGGAAGAACTTCGGTGCTCACACCTTTTAGGCAAAGAAGCAGAGAATTTGGAATGTTTTCTAGACTCTATTAGTGCTATGTTTCTCAGAAAGGCATTGACTCACGTAGTTTTTCTACCATGTTTTATTAGAGGGCTCTGAATTTAAATCCAGTAGCTTTCTGTACTATTTTCAAGTGAGTATTCACTCAGCCAACACTTGCTGCATTTATGTCATTTGCTGTGTGCTGGGGGTAGAGGGACGAGCCAGAGCCAGTCTCCACCCTTGCATCCTCTACAGGCAAGAGATGTGAATGGGAAATCCAATCCCAACCTTAAGGGACAGCACAGCACAGTGGAGTTGAAAGAGTTTGTGCTCTGGACTAAGGCTCAGAGTTCAGATCCAGCCCTGTGGGTGGCCAGCTGTGTAGCCAGAAATGGGTTACTTAGCCTCTTCATTGGAGCTTAGCACAGAATACATAAAGTGCTTGGTCTGCAGGACGTATTCTAGATATGGTAACCTTCACAGAATTCTGATCCTTCTCATGAGCTCTGCAGGGTACATGCTGGATGCTTGCGAGGCCTCTCACCTCTCCTTCCCCCAGCCATGAATGCCCATTTCTGCTCCATTGGCTCTCAGAAGTCATTACTGCATTGCCCGGAGCCTGATCATGCTCTCCCTCTGCCTGTCAGTCGAGTGGGTGCTGCTGGTTCTTCGTCCTCCCATCCTCCTACCTGCTGAAGTGAACTTTCCACATGACTGGAGAGAAAGGGTTTCATTTTAGTCATCACTGACAAATGTCTTCATAATTGTTCCTCACATGCCAGCCTCCTTTAAGGAGACACGGTCATCGGGCACCATTGTGTGCAGCAGCTTGACCTCAGTGTCATTCATCCTGTCACCCCGGACGCTGGCATGGTTTAACCCCATCCTGCCCATTGGGGAAACAGACATGGAGGAGTGAAGCTGTGTGCCTATTACACACACAGAAGGAGCAGACTGGCTTTGAACTGAACTGGTAGACTTCTGAGCCTGTGCTCTTTCCACTGACTCCCACAGGCTCCTGGAGCAAGAAGCACAGGGATGGCCTAGGTCTGTTTGCACATGAAATAAATGGCCTTGAAATTTTTTTTTTGTACATGAAATAAATGGCCTCTGAGTTATGTGCCTTGAGATCCTCTGCCAGCTTTTCACTGTTTTCCTGTCCTTTTGTTTGTCCAGCTCATACTCAGGTAAGTTTGATTGAACACCCACAATGCACAAGAGCTGGGCATCAGCTTTCCACAAATGCAAATCTCCATGATCTTGTCTGATGACTCCAGATAGAATAGGGCCGATTATTCCCATTTGGCAGATGGGAAAACTAAGGCTCAGAATGGATGCTTCTCTTGGACTCAGTGGTTCTAAGGCTTTTTCACCCAGGAAGTTTGTGTGCTGCTTTGTGAGGGATCTCTGGTCCCCTTTCTGGGCCTTGACCCCTTTTCTGATGACCCTTCTCACTTCAGGTGACCCTTCCCTCAGGAGACTGAACCCCTTGACAGTGTTTCCCTTGCTCAATGACCTTCACCAGCGTTTCCCCAAGTGTGTTCCATGGATGACTATTTTCACAGGATGTTAATAGGCTTTAAATAAAGGGAAAACAAGTGGGGTGTATATGTGAAAGTGGGGTGAAGCTCTTGGATCAAATAGGTTTGGTAGACACTGGGTCACAGCAAAATTCCATAATTATCTTTGCTGTAGGACATGCCAGAACCTTCAGTACAACAGTCTTTGTTTTGAAGGGAGCCAGGTGGCTTGTACTATTTCCCACACATTTGATCACTGCATGCTCCTTCATGGTGCTCTTGCAAGACAGGTTCCTTGAACACAGGCAATGGGACCCTGCTTTAACTGGGACAGTGGCAGCCACGAAGCCCACAGTCCCTAGGATGGGTTGAGGGCACCTTCAAGGGCTTCACTTGTCTTTGGTAATGGTCTTTTCTCTCCCCAGCAGCTCTCTGCAGAGGTGAAGGGGTCCCTGACTTTGAGATGGCTAGGACCCTGCTCAGAGGGCTCTCTGTCCTGTAGGGGAGGGCACTTTCCCAGCAGCTGTGCACTGTCCTTCCTGCTTGGAGTGTGCCTTGTGTCCAAGCCCTGCCTCCCGATGCCTCCGGTGCTCAGAGGAAGGCTTCCGCCTCCTTGGTTTAATGCAGACCATTACAGGGAGGCTGGCTAGTTGTGCAAAGAAAATGTTTACTGAGTATTTACCCTGTGCCCACCCCATGCTGGTGCTTTGGATCCAGAGATTAAAAAACCCATCTCCGCCCTCAGGCAACTCACAGTATCTTAGAGGAGCTCAAGATTAAAATGTTGCAGTGCCATGTGAGGAGTCGTGTCAAAAAGGTGTGTGCTAGCCCGACAGCTTGGAAGATATTGTCAGTGATGGCTCAGGTTTGCTGGACAGGAGTGGCCGGAGCTGGAACGAAGGAGACTGTACAGCAGACAAGAGGGGCAGGCAGAGAAAGGGCCCCCAGATGTGGGGGACATTGTGTTTGAAGGCAGAAAGCCTGTCGTAGTTGTGGGTTAAATATCGTTAAGGGGTAAGTTAGATACCTGTTTTTTTTTCTTCCCAATTTCTGGTTCTTTGAAATGCATGGAAGCCGTTTGTAACCCTGGGAAGAGTACTGATTCTAGAGTCAGCCCTAGCACCGGGGTTTGGGGCTGAGCCACTGTTTATTGGGTAATATCAGGCATATTTCTTTTCACTCCTGGAGCCTCAGTTTCTTGTTATCTGGGGGATAGCGCTCCCCGGGTGCCAAAGATCAGATTATCATACTGGGTGATGTGCAGATATGTGAAATCTCCACAGTGGTTGCCTATTTGAAACCTCTCCCACCTGCCCAGATGTAACCATGGCTGGGTAGGTGAGGCCAGAAGCAGCCTCAGAGGTAGCAGCAGCTGAGATGGCTCTGTGGCAACAGAGTCCTAAAGTTGCCAGGAACTCCTAGCAAGATGGACAGAAAGAAACAGGAAGGTTTCCGAGCCAGTCGCAGGAGCTGGTCCAGCAGACAGAACGGAGGCAGGAAAGCCTTCCAGTTTTGCTCTAGCCTTTGCGCTGCCCTGGACATCCGGGCAGGCCTCACCAAGGCTAGACAGCTGTGACATCTGTGCTGACCTGTGTTGCCAGGAAGATACTTCCTATGGACCAGGGACCTGACTGAAGGTGTTGTGCAGCCATCCATGCCCATCTGTCCTTGTCTATTCAAGCAAGATAATCACATCTTATTAACCAATAGATCCTGTTGAACATGTAAAGTGAATGCCGATGCTCTCCCTGATAAAGTCAATGTGGGATTCTCCAGGACCCAGGGATAATCTATCTGCTCCCTGGGGATGTGGGCAGTAAGTCATCTCCCTTGGGATGGAGGTTGTCCTTGAATAGTTCTCTATGGTCTGCCAGGTTTCCCACAGCCTGATGGGCTCTTCTCTATAACCTGCAGCCCACGAAGGGGTTAGCCCCGCCTTAAATTTCATCCTCGGCTGAGAGGCCAATCTCTGGACAGTGAGTCACCAAAGCTTGGGGATGATAGAAGGGAAATAAACAGTCACCAAGCAGTGGGAGAGAGCAGAAAGCCTAGTTGATTTGTCTTCAACTTCCTTCCAAAGCAGAGACCACATCTTCCTGCCACCCAGGGCTCCCTTGGGGTGAACCAGCTCCCATCCGCGTAATTTCTTCCAGGTTTCCAGTTCCTGATGAAGCCAACTCTCTTGGGCTCATAAACATGGCATAGCTGTGCTCCAGGGAGACCTGAGCCCACCCTCCAGGTGTGTGGGCTAGGGATTGGCCTTACCCTAAAGCAGTGGTCAGCAAACTCAGTCAATAGAGCCAAATATTAACAGTACAATGATTGAAATTTCTTCTGAGAGCCAAATTTTTAAAATTTAAACTTCTTCTAACGCCACTTCTTCAAAATAGACTCAGGCTGTGGTATTTTGTGGAAGAGCCACACTTAAGGGGCCAAAGAGCCGCATGTGGCTCAAGAGCCGCGGTTTGCTGACCATGGCCCTAAGGTAAGGTAAGGCAGGGCCACTGGGCCCTTTAGTAAGAAACCAGGATGCCATTTTATTTCAGCACTGACCAGTGGGTCCTTAGCGACACTCTTTAATAATATTTTATTGTTAATAATATTTTATTGTTGTTTCCATACAGGGAATTGATTCTTTGAAGGAATTTTTTTGTTTGCCAAATGTCTATTAAATAATGGTGAATTGTGTCTTCTCACTTTGATTTTGCTCATGAAGGATAAAATGCTTAGATTCCTTCCAGCGATAATTGTTATGGAGCAAGCACCTGCAGTGTGCCGGGTGCTTCTATAAGTGGCCTTGCCTCCTTCATAACCCTGTGAGGCCTTAAAAATCCCTTTCTGCCAATTTGATGACTGTGACCCAGATATTAATGAACCTCACCAAAATCACCCAATGAACAAGACAGTCGGTTTGAATGCAGGTCTCATCCCCCTCTCTCTCCTGAGTCCACATTTTCTCCATGCTGTCCTGCTGCTGCCCAGCACATAGAGAGATGTTGAATTGGTACAAGCTCAGCCAATCACAGCAACAAAAAACAAAACCTTGTTAGTCTGTAGGGCTTGTTCTCTCTCTCTGTCACTCTCTTTTTTTTTAAACGGGGGGAGGCACTTATGCTATAAATAGCTTGGAGATTCTGTTTCTTCTAAAAATTTTTACAAGTCAGGGGAATGCCTCCTCTCCACTCTCCTGGTTATCGGGATTTCATGTTGACATGCTCAGCTCTACAGAAGATTTGGGAAACAGGGTGGAATGGGTCCCAGTCCTGAAGAAGATAGGGCCTGCTCTCCATGAGGAAGAACATTCCAGGGATCAGGGTTGTCTAAAAGGGGGGGCACCCCTCAGAAGAGCTGCCAGAGGCTGGAGAGGGGAATTTAGACTTTGGATGAGGACTGGACCACATATGTGCTTCTCAAATAACCCATGTTGGAGGTGATGTGAGAGAAACAAGTACAAGGAAATGGGTTGGACTTGATCTTGCCAAAAGTCCCTACTACTTTTTTTTTTTGGGGGGGGGGGGGCTGGTGATGATGGTAGCTTACTGATGTGTGAAATTCAGCAGTCTGAGCAATTCTATTCCAAGTCCCTTTGAGGTCCCTTCCAGGTCACTGAGTCTATGAACACCTATGAAAAGAAGGGGGAGTGGTTCCTCAATAAGTTAAAACAGAATGGCCATATAACCCAGCAATTGTATACCATATAACCCCAAATAATTAAAAAATTGGTATTCAAACAAAAACTTGTACTCAAATATTCATACCAGCACGTTTTACAACAGGCTAAAGGTAGAAACAATTTAGACGACAATTAAATGGATGGAGTGGATAAACATGATGTGGTATGTGTCTACACAGTGTAATGTTACTCAGCCACACAAAGGAATGAAGTCCTGGTCCATCCTACAACATGGATGAACCTTGAAAACATGCTAAATGAAAGAAGCCAGACACAAAAGACGACATATTACATGACCTCCACTTATCTGAAATGTGCAGGATAGGCAAATACATAGATACAGAAAGCCAGATATTGTGGAAATGTGGTGCCATTGCTTAATGGGTTGATTTTCTTTTGGTGAAAAAAAAAAAAGGTTGTACAAGTAGATAATGGTGATGGTTGTATTATACAACATTGTGGATGCACTTAATGTCACTGAATTGTACACTTTAAAATGGTTCAAATGGCACTGTGTGTGTGTGTGTGTGTGTGTAATTTAAAGAAGGAAAAGGGGAGCTCTCGCCCTGACGAGGCTCCCACCCCTGTCAGTCTGTTCAACTTGTCCACCTGTCCTTCAGGGTGAAAGACACAGCCACCCACTCCTTTCCCCCCACCCACACGTGTACACACACCTTTGGGCCCCTTTCATGCTGACTGAGGTTCTCCGGATCCCCGCCCAGAAAATGCTTCATGATGAGTGAGGTGGGATCGCCTTGTCCTCACTGCGGAAGGCGAGCCCCGCCGAAGGTGGGAACGGCTCCTGAGGCTCCCGGAAGCCTCGAGGGGGTGCCACCTTGCCGCCCCCCTGGCCCTCACTTCCGGTGCCCACAGCCGCGCCCTCTTGCCGCTTGTCTGTCTCCTGACAGCGGAGCTTCTCTGCTTCACTTGCTCACGGCTCTTTTGGCGA